TTTTTTTTTTTTTTTTTTTTTTTTTTTTTTTTTTTTTTTTTTTTTTTTTTTTTTTATCTCTATCTTGATAAATCACGTCTTGTGTTTATACAGTTAATAATAATAACTGGTCACAAAGCCAGACTTGCTCTTGAATTCACAGTGTCATGTTGTTGTTCATGATAATTTGGCAGTGAGGAACAGATAAATATTATGGTACTAAGTAATACACTGAGTAAAATTCCCATTTTTCAAGCCTGCTTTCTTAGTATATTAGTTCATTAGAGACCTGTCTAGGTCTCCAGAGTATCACTGAAGAACTATTGCCTCGGTAGTTGGCATTCTGTCTTTCAAATTATGTAACCAAAGAGGTGACTTTTTTGGACTGTATGCTAACGATAATACTTTCACTGCATTTTTCTTGGCTTTATCCTTAATAGTATTTTTGATCTTTGAATGAAATGGGATTTTCAGGCTTCAGTTTTCTGGATTCTTTACATCTTGTTGACTCTGTTTTGTTAGTTTTTTTTGCTAAAGCTGCTTATTCATAACAACCAAAAATACCTTTTGTACTAGCTGCTTTCTTTTTTTCTCTTACAAATAATTATCTTCATCTGTCCTGTACATTTTTCAAAACTAGAAAGTACACACCATCTCTGCAGGATAGGTTGAAATTTGCCCTGCTGAGTGGTTTAGGAGGGCTAGAGTCTCTCAAATAGAATATAAAAATGATGACTAAAGAAACACCAAACTAGCAGAACTGACAGTGCTGTAAAGTGTGTTGTAACCTTTTAAGGATTTGGGTATGTCTTGTTTTCCTGATAACCTGAGATTGTTTCAGAGGACGTATGAGGCATTCATTTGCCTTACAGTCTGTTTCATTTCTGTGTTGTACATTAATATAATCCCTGGGTCTTTCTGGAAATAAGTAAAGCAGAATCTGAGGAAGACTTTGCAACAAAATTCAAGAAGGATGTTTTGTGAGTATGGGCTGGTTCCTGTGGAGAAGAGTCAGTGTTCAAACTGAAGTCTGATGCTACTGTTTAGTTAAGTAGCATCCAGTAGATAGTAGAACGTTGCTTTATTATGGAACATATAATACATTTTCCACTGCTTTTTCTTTTGCCTTAGTTCCTTTTTTTCATGCACTCTGTAATATAATTTATATATGACTGATATTGAAATACAGCTCACAGGATAGAACGATTTTATTTTGGAGGGAATGAGTGCCTTACTTCATTGCTTTCGTTGCTAGTGTTGTGATACCAGTGGACAAAGTTGAATCCATATTGGTAGGTTATGGCAATACATTTCTCAGACGACTAGCAATGGCAACAGTGAAGAAAACCAGATTCTTTATATGTGTGTGAAAGGCAAACTTAGTGTCAGATCCTCATTCAGAAATAGGTGTTAGCTCCAGGTTCTAATGGTGCCTCTGGCCTGGGCTTGTAGTTTTCAGAATAATTTAGATATATATGCTGATTTTAAAGAACTTTGGAAAATTGCCACTTTAATCCGTCACTTCAGGCTGCTTATTGAAAGGATTATCTGAAATATATTCTCTTCTTCATGGATTTTTTGATTGCCATTTTGCCTGCACAGTCAGCTCAGGGGTTTTGTTTGATTTGGGTTCGTTTGGTTGAATTTTTTGTTTTGTTTTGTGTTTGTTAGTTTGAGGTCTTGTTTCTTTTCTTTCCCTCCTCAGATTTTCAAATTTTGTCCTGATTGTACTCCTTTATCTTCCTAGTTGTCTTCCTTTTGTCTTAGTCTCCATGATTAGGGATGGTAGGAATTCCAACAAGGACTAGCTCTGAAGCACCCTTTTTTGCTGTTGCTCTCTGTGGTCCTTTGACTGCCTCTTCCATAAAAGCCCCTCAGCTGTGGTTGGGAGAGTGATGAGCCTGTGTTCCTATCTGAGACAAGTCAGTGTGAAGAAGGAAGTCTCGGCTTCCCTTTTCCCCTGCTCAGGGGGTGGTGGGTAAGAAGGATTTGAGAGAATGAGGCTATGTTTTTTCTTACATGTGTGCTGTTATCTCATGGGATACTACCTCTGAATTACTGAAAACAGAGGTCCATTCTGAGGACAGGGTTTGTTTTAAACTGTAATGTTCAGGTAGAAAAGTGCTGACCCTTCAAGGCAACAAGAAGTAAAAGAATATTCCAATCCATTCGTCTTACTTGTTGTGCTCTTTTCTTCCTAATATGTACACCTGCTGCTCCAATACTCTTTTTTTCCTGCTTTGAAATCATGTGAGTATAAGCTTACTTTTGTTTTTTTGTTACTTCATACTGTGTACTCTTGTAAGGGTTGTGCACGGAGTGTGTTAGGGGTCACTAGAAGTGCGTGCTTCAGGGGGAAAGAGAAGACCAGATCTCCCAGAACTTTGAAATTACAGTGGAATTCATTATGGGGGAACGGCCTTTAAAGATACTTAGGAAAAGTACAGATGCCTTCATTTTGGTACACCTTGCTCCCAGTTCCTTTGCCCAGGGTCAGTATTTGGGTATTATGCCATTTTCCCAGCAGGTTGAGTCCTTGATTTCCGTTGGTTTCAGTAGTTAGTGTGTGCACTGTGAATCAGATACACAAGGCAAAGGCCCAGCCTGCAATTACTGCTGCTCCTTGGCAGGAGTTTATTCAATCTGTTCCTCTTGGCTAGACCTCTTATCCTGTCTTTGTGGTCTTATTTACGTTGTGGTGGCAGAATTATTTCCACTCCAAAGCGCTGTAGTGATATTGTCTGAATGCTTCAGGATGAGATATGGCTAAGGATCTTTGGAGAGCTGAACTTAATTTAAATTCTTCAAGAACTATCTGTTATTTTCAGTCTTTATTATTATTATTATTATTATTATTATTATTTTAATTAATAGAAGATGCAGACTTTTTGGAATGATGGTGGAAACTTGTGTTCTCTTCTTGAGAAATATTGTTTAGTCTTCTGAGCCATCATGTGAATGCCCTACTCCTGGGCCTCATATGTAAATATTTTCCATCATATTTGATACTGTTCACGGATTATGTAGATGCATAATGATGTGGGTGCAGTTTATGTTTTAAAGTCTGAGTGCAGAGCCATGGATTTGGCAGAGAGCTAGGGAAAAGTGCATATTTAGGGAGGATCTGTTTCAGGAAATCTTAAACCACACAATTCCAAATATTCATGCTGTAGAAAGTAAGTTTTATTGTTTTCTCTCTTATTTTTTGTACTTAAGACAAATTTTTCTCTTAAAACAGTTTTTTGGGGGATAAACACGTTCCTTGAAGAAAGTACATCCCACTGAATTTACAGTGGGAATTCAAATTATTGTTTGTTGGCTGTCTGTCCATATGCATGGTTGTATCCCACAGTGGAGGTGAAGTGAGCTATTCCTCATTCAGTGATTTATGATTTCCGCTTGCATTAGTGCACCCAACAGTAAAAGTAAGGGTTTATATACTGTCATTTACTATAGGGCATTTTACACACAGGAGCTTGTTACTTTACAGCAGCTGTGGTGTCAAAGTCCTAATGTTGCCCCTGCCTGGGGTTAATAATTTTCAGAATAATTTAGATACGTGTGTTGATTTTAGAGCGCTTCAAAAATTTACCACTTGAATCAGGCGCGTTGGCCTGCCTGTTGAGAGGATTATCTGAATAGTGAAGGTGAAGGGGAAGTGACAAGCCCTGCTGGCAGTGACACTTGTGTTTGCAGCAGACCGTGGTGTGTTGGCATAAGACCGCTTGAATGAGTCAGTGGAGGAGATGAAAAATGCTTTGGAGGCGGAGCTGTTTAGAGGAGAGCTCAGAAGCATGAGAAGTTCAGTCTCAATATTCTGATAAAAACAGAGACCGAAGTACCACTATAGAAAGTCTGGTGAGGAGCTCTATTCAATGTGTAACTTTAGTCTAAAAAGTGCTCGTGACAGGTAATACATGGGGAAGAACAGGGAGTAACATAAACGTAACAGGGAAAAACGTAACTATTGCATAAAATGAGTGGCTTTATCCAGAGTATGTTAAATGGTAGAAACTGTCATTGAAGAAAGTATAAAATAATTGGAGTAGTTTCAGAGATAGGTAAAAAATGAGAAGTATAAGGTGTATGCATGTAAAGAGACTGAAAAGATGGGATGTGTTTGAGGGGTAAAAATTAAGAAGAGAATGATGCATATGTAAATACATGTGCATTTTACATATATGATGAATCTGGACCATCTGCTGTCACTGTCTTATAACAGAAGAAGGAAGAAATATTGAGTGAGATTCTTACCAAGTTTTCTTTTAAAACTGTGTTGAAGTCAGTTACTGGGCATTTATATGTATGCATATATAGTAAAATGGAAATTAATTCTCTCTTCTTCCCTAAGAATTGCTTCAAGTTAGGTTTAAAAATCTATTTCTGTTTTAAACATATGTGGCTTGAAGCCCTCAACTTCAACCACTCCACGAGAAAATGAAGATCTCTTCACTTTGTTTTGTTTAAATCTTTTTTCTTTTTCCCCTGTTGCAGAGCTCCCTGAAGATATGTGGCTCATACTGCCTCAAACTATCTGGACATTTGTTGTTTAACTGCTGAAGCTTTCCTACCACTTAATAAGTGAAGCCTTAAATCTATTGAGGGATCAGATTTGGCTGCTATGGTAAGACATTTTTTCAAACTGTAGTAAAATGCTAAATGTGGGTGCAATATGCCAGTTTATTTTGGTTTTATTTCTTTATTCAGTAGCAAAACACCAAAACAAACAAAAACTCTTAATGGTGTACAAAACCAGAAGAGGAGACTTTGAACTAACTAACCAGCCAAGAAATTTTATGCTACATGTTTTCTCTTTATACTTGCCCTGGGCTTTTAAGTGAAGAATAAGAATAATGTGAATCATTCTACAAGATCTTTTTCTTGTGTGTAGATGTATGTGTATAACTCATCAAAATGTTGTCTATGAATGTTTTACAAGTCTCTTCTAGATACTACATTTTGTATGAAATGCATGTGGGTTTAACGGTAGTTTAAATTACAGTATTTAAAATACTTAAGGTGATTTGTAGAAGTTCTAATTTTTGGAGAATAAAAACTGGTAAAAATAGGAAGAGGAAATGCTGTAAATAACAGGTGAGATAGAAATATGATTGAACCTCTAAGTAGATAAAAATCCACAATTGTTTGCTAGATGATGATATAGTACTCTATGTAGGAACTGATACTTGTCCCTGATCTCAACAACTGCAGCAATTTTGAATAACCAGGTGATACTTTACAAATTTCAGGAATCAAGACCAACTAAAACATGAGGAGATGTAGTCAAGATGATCCAGCCAGAAGATTCACTTCATAGAAATCTTATTTTTGTTTAATATGTAATATAATTTGACAAAGCCAAATTCAGTTACTTTTCTTGAAATTAAGACACGCCTGTGGCCTTCATCAGAAATGTTTCTAACATTTTCAAGAAAAAATATGTCCCAGAAACTGAGTATGTTTTTACTAGTTTTTGGAATCATCTGGGGTTTGATGTTGCTACGCTACACTTTTCAGTATCCAAGACGCCAAAGCAGTGCTGAGTTGCGTGGACAGATATTAGATCTCAGCAGAAGATATGTCAAAGCATTGGCAGAAGAAAATAAAAATTTAATGAATGGTGGTGGTGGAGCATCTATGGCAGGATACGGTAAGAGGAAAAAGCTATACTAGTTATCTGAATATCTTCTTTTTTAAATGAAAGCTGTAAAGTTATGTTTTTTCTCTTTCAAAGTAGTACACACTGCTCTTAAATAGAAAAAACTCTTGTTTTTCAGTCAGCAGAGGCGTAAATAGATAGATTCATCCTCCTCCCCCACTTCACAGCTTAAATAATAAGCGATAAGATACTGTATCATAGCAGTTTTTCTATGGGCTAGATCTCTTATTTAGGGGAAAACTATTTAATACCTTTTTTATGTTGGAAAGTATTTAAATATGTTGTTGTCCAAGGCTAAGAGATGTTATAACTGTGTGTTCTAGTACTATTGACTGAATGAATTTTGCAATACTGCCTTTGAGTAGTCACTTCTAATGCTCCAACTAGTGATTTTGTTCTTACACTCAAATATTTAATTGTCTGCTTCACAGTTCCCTATTATGGTGGTATAAAATAACAAAGAAATGGTATTAAAGAAAAATCAAGCAGCTATACTTGTCTATCAATCTTCATTCCTTTCCAAAGCATACAGTAGGGAGGATAGCAAGCCTTAAGATGTGAATATGTTGAAATAGCAGTTCTTTTCCACACATAGTAAATAATAGTCTCTAATTTGTTTTTTCCATTATCTTTAGCTGATCTTAAGAGAACAATTGCTGTTCTTCTGGATGACATCTTACAACGCCTGGTGAAATTGGAAAACAAGGTCGATTACATTGTTGTGAATGGCTCAGCAACAAATACCACTAATGGAACTAGCCATCAGGCACCAGTAACTTCAAATAAACGTGTAAAACCAGCCAGCAACATTAGATAGCAAACAGGGCCGCTTTGCATTGCTACATCTGCGATGGGTAATATTTAAGATAAGCTTTTTATATGTGGCTAAGGCAAAACAGTAGTTGACTCTAAAAGAAGCATAAACTATGCTATTATACAATGTGCTGGATCTGTGTAGGCCTAACATATGTGCTTAGGTTCTCAAAGCATTGTTTCATTGCCTTTGAGCAGTACTTCTGAAGTGATCTTTGTCGTCTTTAAAGATATTTTGATATCATGATTTGATGTAGTATGCCATTGGATAATAAAACTATGTGGAAAGCAATGGGGAACTTATAGGTAGGTTTATAAATATATTTATTTAAGTATGAATATAACATATCTTTTGGATAGGTGAGAAGCATTGTAGCTTATTAATTTTTTGTGATCTGCATTTAAGCTGAGGTAACTGAAGAAAACGCATTGTTAAGCAGATGTTAGAAAATGTGTATACTTAAAATATTTTGTTACTTAATTACTAAACAATATTAAATTGAGGATAGCATTGGTGGTAATATTTTAAAATTGCGACCCAAAGAATGTCTTTATTTGCACTATCTGTCAGAATAGTTAAAGCGAATTTACTGTATATTTAAGGAAATTAATTATAATAGGAGAATATTCTAGGTAGTAACACTGTCCAGGTTTATCTTTGTGCCAGAGTAAGGGCAGTTAGATTGTCAAAAGCAAATCATAATCTGTGATATCTTAGATCATTGTTTCTTACAAAGATATTTAAGTGTATGTATTTTGTAATTGCAGATGAAATTATTTAAGTGACAGAAATAAGTTTTGGATATGCGAATACGGTTTATTTTTATTTGTTGCTGTTTGTTTTAACAATTTAATACCTTGCAATTTGTGATGAGTATAGCACACAACCTCCTTGAATTGCTTTCTTGATCAGAAGGAAAATCAGTGAAGGGAAACAAGGCATCTCTGCATTTAACAGAGTTGTATATACTAAGGTTGTCTAGTCATGGAGTATTTGAGAGGTAAGGTAATATTTGCCTTATGTCTAAGTCTTACAGCAAAGTGAAATGCATGCAGCATGGATGCACTGTATTTCAAAATGTTCCTGAAGTCATATTTAAGTGCCACTGAACCTGTTTTTTAAAATGTAGTGAATGTTTGGTGGGGACAGAGGATATATTCAGGGACTTTTGCCAGAAGTGTCCTGCGAGTGGGGTTTTGGGGGTGGGTAAAACCAGAAGTGCTGGATGATATACCATCCAAAGTTATGTGTTTTTTCTTTTCTTCTGTTTCCGTGCTGATATTCTTGATGGTTATAAAAGAAAATACACTTGCAACCTTCCTTAATGTCCAGAGGATTTTTTTGGTCACATTGTGTGTAAACATGTACTCACTTCAATGCAGAAAGAGAAATAAATTTTTAATTGTACTTGTAGATGTTCCTGTTTTTCTTTTTTCATTATTATTATTAAACAGTGTTGTCATTTTTGCTACATGTGCTCTGTTTCTGGATTGGGAAGTTGTGTGTCTCTGAGGTTTAGTAGTGGTCTATCTGGTATTCTTCCTTCCGAGTCACTGAGTTCTTCTGCTCTTTAAATTCTAATGCCCCGAAACTTTTTTCAGGTTAGACCTGCAGGAGGAAAGAATTGAAAATAAAATAACTAGTTTCCATCTGTAATGGTTAAGACTTTGGTTAAGCTCTTTAACCTAGGAGTAAAGAAGATAGGTGCTTAACTTCTTTTGAGTCTGCAATTCTCTAATGACGGTGTGAAGATAAGTTTTTATATGTCTGTCTGTCTGTCTATCTGTCTGTATCTATCTATCTCTGATTTTATTTCCCAGATACTTGACTGCTACCAACCAGAACCTTGTTCTTGTATACGTATACAAAACTGACTCTTTTTTCTTGTAAGGGTATGTGAAACAAAGTTATTGAGGACTGTTAAACGAGCATAAAAAAAACTTGCAAGGTGAGTATTTATCATTATGTGCACAGGCAGGTTATTTTATGCAGGGATTTTGGAGACTGATACATACAGTCATGGTAATTTATGGTGCCATTAGCAAATAGTTGCCTTTTTTTCAGGTTTCAGTAGCACAATGGCTCATGGGAATTAGCTTATACTTGACAAATACATAGAGAAAACTGCAAACTACCTCTGTTTTATGGCACAAAAGTTCCATTCATGAATATAGTTGAAAGAACTGTTTGCCAAGGAGCAAGTTAAAAATGGTCTAGTAGCATCCTACTTCTCACTTTGCCTGAAACCAGCATTATTAGGGGTTGATACAGCATTACATCACTGTCCATGATATATCTCGCCCCTCTTTTTGTGGCTAGTCTTGTTCTGTGCTGTATCGCCATGCCATGCCTCTGACTTGAGTTCTCCCTTCACCAGCTACCTAGCACACTGCCATGACTTCTGTGCTCCAGCAGTGCAGAGGATAGAAGCTGAGCTTTATCCTTTTTTGCTCAGATGACAACACTTTTCAGAATAGGAAAACCAGGAAAAGAAAGGCAAGGAAGGGATAAAGGGGGAAGGTCTTGGCTGCCTTTCCTATTAACAACAGTAGCAGGAGTACATCTGCGTGTTCTGGCCTGCAGCCTCCTTTATGGGACATGTGAGAGGTGTGGCAATGACAGGAGGTTGTGTAGAGAACTTGAGGGCTTGGGTGAAAAAGAAGCAAGAGAAAGCCTACAATGTACCCCGGGTCCAAAATGCTTGATAGTTTCACAGGATTTGTTTGTGTTGCCAAATGTATTTAATTTTTTTTCCTGAGAAATATGTAAGTAGTGTTTCTACTGTGCTACAGTTTTAATGATGCAGCTGTGCATTTCCCATTTCAGACAACATCACAATCCCCACCAAAGCGACCTGCTTCAATTTTTGTAATATGGAATCTTCTTAAAGCTGGTTGGTTCTTAGGCTGGATTGGGTTTGGTGGTTTTTTTCCCCCCCCTTTTCTTTGGAGGGCAGGGGACCATATAACACCTTATATAAAGAACTGCTGATTTGAGGGAGTGGGGAGTGTTTTGGCCTTGAAATCTTTCGGTAAATTATGAGTCTTAAATTTTCCCAGCTGTAATTTGTCTCCTGAGTGTTTATCAGCTGATTTCACCAGGTAATTGTCAGTACTTCTGTGCCTGAGAATGATTGCTTAACATAGGTAGCAAAAAATGTTCAAGATCCACTCCCAAACAGAAGTTCTAATGAAGAAAAATGGAAAGAAAAGAGTATATATTGATTGCTATCTAAACAGACAGTTCTTTTTGTTGCTTTCTTCATCTAAATAAATAATTTTGGAATTTCACCATATAAACCGTAACGTAATTAGGATGTCCAAGCATTGTCTAACAATTATTTGGGAACAAGAAGTTTATTTAGAAAAATGATTACATAAAATTTAACATTGCAGTTTATTGTGTTTTCTTAAAATCTTTTTAACTCCTAAAAACACTCAAATTTATTGAATAAACTAAATGTCTTGAACATTCTTACTTAATTGGTGTAGTATTTTTAAAGGTGATGTAGAGTGTCAATTGATGTCTTTAACAATTAATCCAAAGATTACCCTCCTTACCTGATGCCCTTTCGTGAGATTGTACTTTACAAAACAAAGCAGTCTGCTATCTGTGGGGTTCAATTTAACATATCTGATAGTATGCTGCCTTCAAAGGCAAGAGTGAAATGGGAGACTTTGCTTTATAGTAGCTAAATAAGCGAATTAGGCTTTTTTTATATTTTTCATTTGGAAAAGATGTTTACTGAATTGGTACTTCACTAACCTCAGTTTGTCAGGAATGATGCGCATAGGTATTTGTATCTGTTTAGGTTATTAAAATTAAGCCCAAGTTAAAAAAAAAATCACGTTATGTTCATGGAATCACCTCTCTTAAACACTGGTGGCATCACATGCTGCTGAATTATCTCTAAGTGATCTTAATTACTACAAATTTCCCAACTATGTTTGTCAATACCTGCTGCAAAAACATTTCATTATTAATTGGCCCTTACTTGTACATGAGCTTCCATATTCCCTTTGACATTCATCAACTTTTTCTGTTTGTAGATGTGTAATCATTTTCTGTTTTTCTGATAGTGAAACTGAAGAGAAACATGCTGTCGTTTTTAAATACTGTAAATTAGGATTAATAATACAAAAACTAATTTTTATTGTAGCATAATGTATAGTCATGGTTAGAAGTTTATAAAAGTAAGTACAGCTTCGATTTGCCTTCAAGTATATCAGAATATTGGTTACAAATATGGATGGAGGGAACAATTTAATGAAAATTGTTTATGTTATTCTTTTTGCCACTTTAATTCTCATTTCCAGAATAGTTGATTAGAATAGTCATTGACCAGATCCATAGAAATAGAATGACTTACTACTACTTCAAAATAATGACTTGAGGTCCAAAATATAACATTGTTTTCCTAAATTATTCATTCTTGCATTAATAAAGTGGCTATCTTCAATTTGCATAGGTATTTCACTGAGAATATTTTTAAGCACTTGTCAAAATTGTAAGGGTTTCAAAAAATTTAAAGGGTCACACATTTTATTGTTAACAGAGGGTGTTGAGAGAGACTGTCAACACCCCATGCAGCATTAAGCTGTTGCCTTTGATGTGTAGGCAGTACCTTAGGTCTCACAGAACTGTACTGTAAGTGAGTGTCCATATGTTCAACCCACTTTGATGTGTTCAGAGATCTTGGGCCAGCAGCATCCGTATGCTACATCACAACCACAGGAGGTAAAACATGCCATCTGGATTCCTGTTCCTTTTACTTACCTTGTGTCATGGCTTCTTCATGGGACCAGAAAGCCTTTTCTTTTTCTTCCTTGCTACTCAAAATTATTTGGTAGTTTAGCATGAAAAATCAGGTTTGACTCAGTCTTTAATGAATTTTGAATTTATATTTTGGATGTCTATTAACAATCTCTTAGAAGAGATGAGAGACGGGAGAGGCTTTTCTGAGTCCAAAATGTACTCCTATACTCATGCTATGACAGTAAAACAGTGAGTGTTTGAAATACCTTTATTAGCAAAGAACTCAATTTCTCAATTACAAAGTCTTTCACCTTTCATATCTGTTCCCAAGTAAGTCTACAGATGCAGATTTGAATTCAAGCAGATCTTGAGTGGGGTCTTACTAGCTGATAAGACCTGGGTGCTAATAAGCTGAACACTGTCTGTATTGCATAAAACGCTTGCTGTGATCAAATCCAGAAATAAATCCTCAATTTTTGTGATGGGAGGTAGTTCATAGGACAGATGCCTCACAAAAAATTGACTTGATTTCCTGCTCTCAGTAAGTTCTCACTGACTGTTCACAGGTAATCTGATGCTGAAGTGCAATATAGACTAACATTTGGAGCCCTCACTGAAAGCTGCCTTATTCAGAAACCTGGCTCTGCTCTCCAAACCCAAACGGAATTTCAGAGCACTGTTTTTAACAAAGATCTTGCACAGATGAGGCACATCAACCCATGCCATAGGAGCTCTGCTCATTCTGCATGAACCAGGCTTGCCAGAGCTCTTTCCACCCCTTCCCCCCTTTACTGACAGTTCTGGGATCTTTGGCACCAGCAAAATGTGCATACAGACAAGGTATCTCAAAGATCTTCAGTTTTGTGCTGTTCCTGTGCAGCAGTGTGTGCCTTGTTATGTTCAAACTCCCTGTCTGCAGAGCTTCTTGTCCTGCTTTCAAGGTCCCCTTTCCCCCATCTGTTTATTTCTCAAAGTTATGGTCAGAGGAAGAATTTTCCCTGGAGAAATAATCCTGATTTTTTTTTGGTGGGATTTTATTTTCTTCTATTAGCTTACTTGAAGATATATTAACTGCAGTGAGGACTTGCTCCCATATAATTTCTGCCTTTAAGAGTGACCTGTTCATGTTCAGATCTCAGTGTGACAGAAAGTGTGTGTTGTTTTGCAGTGCTGTCTCCTCTGCTGAAATTCCTTATACATGTGGCATAGCCACAGGACAAATGCCCAGACCATATGCCCTGTCACCTTATTTGGATACTGCTGGACACCTGAGGGCGTCCCTGTTGTTTCATCTATCTCTGGGGAATGTTTTGGCAAAACACTACCATCGTCCTTGTGACATTCCTCTTCACCTTCTGCTTCATTGCTTGTGGCTTGTCCAGTTCAAAACAATCTGGAGACTTCCCTGAATTGCTGTACCTTTTTATTGCCAGGCAAGTGTCATTGTATGGAATGGAAAAAGCCTCTTCTTGTGGGTCTCAATTGGACAGTCTGAGGATTTGCAGCTCATGCTAGCAGGCAGAGCACAATTTAATGACCAATTTCCTAAAGCTCATAAAGAAAACATATTACATATTTTCCTCATATATTTGGTCACTTTGTGGCCAGATTGTTTGTAGCAAGGTGAAGCAGAAATTTACACGGATAGAGCAGTACTGTGGTGTATTCACTGCAGCCCTCAAACACATCAGAGGAGTTGCTATAATGTGGTGGCATTGCTTGTGGCACATGGAGAGGAATTGGGAATTGCAAATTGCCAGTCTAAAAACCGCCTTTGGTTAGCAGTGTTTCCCAAAGTTAGCCTCCTGTTGTCTTGAACTATGAAAAAACACATTTTGCAATGGAACATATATTTATTTTGTAATGGGAGAGTGATGGGGAATCAGTGGCCAACCAAAAACACCTGTCACTTGCTCACCAGGAATGTAGTGGTCTAAATAGCAGCAGCAGCTGAGGACAACGCGAGTGCAGAGCAGGTACCTTGAGGGCTTGCATGGACACAATGTGCTGCATGGTTGGTGGCACCCGTGATTGTGGATGCTTTTCTGAGGCACCTCAGGTGCACGGATCTGCACACACACATCTGTGGATGTGCATGTACCCGTGCCCCGGCACTGCCGCTCAGGGAAGGTGTCCATCTCAGAGGCATGGGGGATGACTACCATTCCTGGGGAATGTGTGCACCATGTATATATATCCTGTCCTTGATATCAAGCCCCTCAAGATTTGAGCTGCTCCAGACTTGAATCAAACTTTGCAATTTTTTTGTTTGTTTTTTTGTTTGTTAATCAGTAGCTGTAGCTAGACAGTTATGATTAAGCAATTGCATTGTGAATGTTGTATGTTTGGTGAATCTTTTGTTTTAAGGAAAAGAGAAGACAATCCCAAGATGAATGGGTCGTCTGGACAAGAGCCACCTGTAGTGAAATCAGCAGAACTGAGCAGTAGCGCCGGGAAAGGTAATTCCAGCAGTGCGATCGTGACCACCTACTCAGAACAGACCCCAGACTGAAATGGAGAGAACTGCCCCTGTAGGCTAATTCTCATGACAAGAGAGAGATGTAATTAACAAATAGGGGTTTGAGTGTTAATAGACAAGTTATGTAACTTGTAACCAGTGAATGCTGATGCCCTTGTTAAAGTGTATAAACAGTGTAAAGTCTTGATGACCGGTAAGCCTTTTGGGGGTTACCACCGAGCTCCCTCCGTGGCGCGAACGGGCTCGCTGTGCCCGTGTACGCTGCACACGCACCCCGTACTTCCACGCACGTTTCTCAGCAACCGGTGCGGTGCGTGCTGCGGGCGACCCGCCCGCCCTGCCCTCCCGCCTGCCCTGCCCTCCCGCCTGCCTCCCCCTTGCCCTGCCCTCCCCCCTGCCCTGCCCTCCCGCCTGCCTCCCGCGCTCCGTGCGCGGGCGGCGCCCGGCGCTCCCGGCGCTCTGACGGCGGCTGGGCCGGTCATGGAGCGGCTGCAGGTGGAGCCGGAGGCCCTGGAAGAGTACGCGGAGTACCGGCGGTGAGGGCACAGGGGCGGCGCGGTGGGGGTCGCTGGGGCGGGTGCCGGCGGCAGCGGTGCCGCATCGCCCGCGTCCGGCCCGCGGCCCGGGATTCCTCCCGAGGAGATGCTCGCGCTCGCCTCCCGCCCTCCGCTTCGGGTTCTGTGGCGGCTGCGTTGGGTCACATCCACCGCCCGCCGTTCACTGTCGCAGCCGGAGGTGCCGTGGCTGGTGTGCCCCGGTGCGGGCATGGCGTAAACCTTGTATCAGCAGCGAAGGAACGCGTCGTTCATCGCATTCAGGCCCGCCCGGCAGCGTGTCTATGTGATGTGCTGTGAGAGGCCATATGGGCTAGCAGGGAGGTTGGAACTAGGCGATCTTTAATGTCCCTTCCACTCAAGCCATTCTGTGGTAATCTGACAGCTGTATTGCTCTTTCACAAAACGTGGACTTCCGTGCATCGTGAGTTCTAGTTTTGCACTCTATAAACCCCTCGTACTACCTTGTGCGTCTGCTAATCTCGCCAGCACTCCTCTCGAAAGGCTGAGCAAAAATAAACATAAACACAGTCATTGTGCTGAAATGCAATCTTAGCTTAGGAAAACCTTCAGTAAAACACGAGAGGAAGGCACAGTAGTATTTCTTATATAAGACATACAGTGATTCAGTGGGCGTTGGCTGGGTTGATGTGCAAATCCCAGCAATATGTTGGCACATTATTCTGGTGCTGTACAGTACTGGCAATGCACAAATCCACAGAATATTTGACACATTCAGTGTGTTTTAGCGCACCCAACAAATAATAACTGAAATATTTACAGACATTAATTAACTTCTAGCATAAGTAAGTGCTGCAATTAAGTCTTAGTTGTATTTTACAGGTTTTGCTTACTGTCATCAATTGTTTCTATAAATGCAGAATGTGGATGCTGCTCTGGAGTTCCAGATATTCAGTGACCTTGAATTTGAACATAATGATAGCTTAAGCACATGGGCCTGTCTGAGTTGTGGGATACAGCTCCCATCAACTTTAGCTACACAAACTATCATAGCCTTCTTGCAAGTTGTCTTCTAACTTGGATGTGTTGTTTGTTACTTTGATGGCAGTTTAGTTTTCCTGCTTGCAGTTACTCTCAAATTAGACTTAGATTAGATCACTTGATACAAGCAAGTCTGCAGTACAGTTAGGTGTAGATGGGTGAAGTGACTTGCCAGAGATCATTCAAGAAATCTAAGGCAGAGCTGGCTGGTTACATGACCCTTGATACTCATCGCTTTTTCTGCCATATGAAAAGGAGTGCTTTGCAGTTGCCTTTATTTTTTCCTTTTGTCTTACAAAACTGTTTTTCAGTCTGTCAGAGCAATTTTTTCAAAAGAGCATTATTCACAAAATTTCTCTAAAGATCAGCTATAGTTCTGTTAAATGTATATCACTAGAACAGTATTATGAAATACAAGATTTTCTTTTGCATTTACAGCAAAAGTACTGTTATATATTATTTGAAAAAATATCTGGAGAAATCTACTTTTATTGTCTTCATATCCTTTGGTTCTTTTTATAACATGTTTACAGAATTGTAGGTGATGATGATGGAGGAAAGCTCTTTACTCCTGAGGAATATGAGGAGTACAAAAGAAAAGTACTACCCATTAGGTTACAGAACAGGTTGTATGTGAGCTGGAGATCACCAACTGGCATGGACTGTAAGCTTGTGGGACCAGAGACACTGTGCTTTTGTACTCACCGGTAGGTAGCTTTTCTTTTCTCATACCACTATATTTTTAAAAATCAGGAAAATGTGAAGAATTTCCAGATACATTACAGTACCACATAAACAATTTAATTTAAGGCCTGGGGGTTGAGAAACTAAGGTTTTAGATAGTAAGAACTGTTTTTAAATCTAAATCTCAATAAATTTTTGAGACCAAAATGGTTTTGCAGTCTTCAATAAATTCAGCTTTAAGGCATGAGTTATTGTAGATTGTATTGATTCTGATAGTGGTGTCAAAATGAAACATAAAGATCTGTGATATTTATGTAATAAATAGTTGTAAAAGCAGTTGATACTGTGCATTTCATTAAAAAACTACGACAGTAATATAATTAAGGATATGTAAAAACCAAATTTGTGAAGTAAATTATAAGCCTCTCAGTTACATTTCTGATAAATACTAACAAAGTTATGAAAGCTATTATTTTTACCCATTTTAGGTATAAACAACACAAAACGGACTATGAAGTGCTTCCCAAAGAGCGTCCTATTTGTGTGCCTTGTAGAGTGAGATGTTGTCTGTGCCAGTCCTACCACTATGTCCCTCTGAATGGCACACAACCCATCCGCTGTAGATGCAAACACTTTGCTGACCAGCACAGTGCAGCACCTGGATTTCCATGTAACTCTTGTAAGTTACGGATGGGCTTGCAGCATTCTTTGCTAGGAAACTCAACAGAAACAGCGAGTTAGGGATCTGTGTTCGTCCCTGAGTGTGAGGTGTATGCTGCACTTGTCACTGATGTGTATTGTGATCCTAGAAGAAGGATGAGAAGTGGGAAGGAAGACATCACCTTTTGCAGGAAGGTTTAGAACAAGGACCTTGATTTCCCCAAGTCCTGTGAAGGAGCGTAAGTTTCTGAATGGTTCAGTTAGGTGCTTATGGAGACAGATGCCAGAAGTCAGGCAGTATGAAAGCACCGCACTTGCAGTTTGTCACTTCCACCTGCACACCCATGACTTTTCTACCTGAACTTTGTAGTTTGAGGGAGAGAAGAGTTGATCTCCATTCCTCTATTGCCTAGTTGAATATAATGTTGATGAACCTTTTCTCAACTCCATAGGAAGTAGCGCTTGTTCCCAAATAATACTGTTGTTAGTGCTCTAACAAAGCAGTTCCTGAGCATAGAGGTTGTGGGTCCAGAAATGCAAATGGGAATGGAGTTTCAAGGAAGAGCTTTGAGGAGGGACTAAGAGGAAGTTTTTTGCTTCAGTTGTTTGAGGTTAATGTTATGAAACAGCAGTAGTTATTAACCACATAAAATAAATAATGCACAAAGATGTTCTAGTTTGAAACCTCAAATTACGTAAGCCAAATGTTTTTTTGCTAGAGTTCTGTTGGTAAATTTCTTTCATAAAACATGTCTATTTTGTACAGGAAAAACTGTAAACAGCTTTTACTGTTTGGGAATCATATCCCATAGAACAAATCGTAAAATATTCATATGACAGCCTTTCAAAACTTTAAGTAATGCGAAAATCTTAAAAGTGCAATTGGATGATTCAGACTGAATCCATAGAACACAGTGTTTTCAATAATAATTTATATTATGCACTTTTTTTAGTGTTTCTCAGAAATACTGGATACTTCTGAAAGATTCACTGATGTCACAGAGAAGTGCCAAGATTTGCTTCTGTTTTGGACTTGTGTTGTTTTAATGTAATGGCCTTAGTCTAGTTCAGTGTTGATCAATCCAATGTGATAGATAAATTATAATCGAAAACACTGCTGTTGCCCTTTATGTATCATATACACTGCATTCTGTGTCCAAACAGAATACAGAGCTCTGGTACCAGGGAGTGCCCAAAATTATATGAAAAAGCCTTTAACAGTCTCAAGAATATGATCTGTGAGCATATTATGCAAGACTTAAAAAAATCTTTCTTGGTGCTCTGCAAAATGAACTGTGAGTTGGAAACATTTGCAAAATCAGTTCCTCAATTTCTTGGTCACATCGTTGCTCCAGCGGGGCTTTGACGACAGTTTTGTCCCCGAGTTTAGGGCAGATAGGTAACTTCACTCGGTTTCTGAATGTCACGTGACATTTGTATAACTATTTCAGTTGCATCCTATGACTATATACGGTTAAAAACCCCTGTGAAAGTCAGTCTAACAGTACTTTTGTGTAGAACCCATTTTGCTGTTACCACAGCCTCTGTTTACTACTGAGATACTTTTGCTAATTTAAAACAACATTTAAATTGTGATTTACATGATAAATTGTGATGTGAATTTTTTTTGGCCATTCAACACTGTCATGTGCTGTACAACTCTGGGGGCAATACTGCCAAAATGCTGGCAGGTTGTCATCTTTACCCAGTGTCAGAATTTCTTATCCTTTTGTTCTTTGTCAGTGGATAGAGAAGAGTGTTGTTAATGGCAATGGACACAAGTTGCAACATAGGAAATATAGTTAGATATCAGAAAAGAAATGTCTGATCCAGCATTGGTCCAGGCTGCTCAGAGAGGTGGAATCACCATCCTCAGAGGTACTTGAAGCTTGACTCAATGAGACCTTGTGACCAGATGGGCTCTATGATCTAGTCTCCACAGTCATCCTTTATGTTTATACAATTTTTTTATATACCTGGATGCTTTTGTAGTGAAGGAACTCTATTTTTTTACAAGGATCAGTTTAGGGAAATCATATTGTCAGCAATAAGGTATAAATGCCATTATCATCTCACTCCTTTATCTTTTTATTAGGTTCCAAGTGTTCAGGCTTTCATAGTTGCTTTACCTGTGCATGTGGTCAGCCAGCGTATGCTCATGAAACAGTTGTGGAAACCAAAGAGGAGCGCTTAGCCCAAGGAAAGCCTGTGGGGCAGGATGTTCCTTATGCTGCTATGGGAGGACTGACTGGTTTCAGTTCACTAGCAGAAGGCTACATGAGACTCGATGACAGTGGAATAGGTAAGTGCGGCTGACCTGAGGTGAAGTTTTAGTTCTCCACCCAAGTAGTTTTGAGAAGCACTAAATCAAAATAGATTTTCAAAGTTTGAAGGCAAACTGGATCAATAAGAGTATGAAGGCAGACAGATTTTTTTTTTTTTTTTCCAACAGTCTTTTGGTGTGTCAAGATCACTGTGACCATGTTGTCCAACTTGCAGTAGTGAATTGATAAAATGACTCTTTATCAACAGTTCTGGTATTCAGCCCAGTTGCTTTTGGTTGAAAAGCAGCATATCTTTTAGGAAGAACTGTAACTTCTCTTTTTCTCTTAATACTTCCACATTATATTTATGTTAATCCTTTAGCCTAAATGTGCCCAGGAATTTCTTGGTTATATATTTATAGCATTTTTGTTTTCAAACTCAAAGGTTAATAGCTGTTCAGCCTAAAAAACCAGAGGGAATTCATAGAACAGACATGTTAGTCTTGATACTTCTGGTATTCTGTGATTTTGTGCCATTTAATAATGGACATATTTTGTCCTGAAATACCGTTTTATCTATAATTCTCATATATTCATTATTTCTTTTTTAAATTCTGATCTGGTTTCCTGGATTTGTCAGAAGTTTAGAAACTATGGTATTGCCATAGTAACTAAAGAAACAAAGCTTTCCATTTCTTTTGAAGCCAGCTTTGTAGTGCTTTTGTTAACTCGAGTTTATGAGGACTGCACTGAGAATTGTAGATATGAATCTGTACCCGTCATGTATATCAGAAATCTGTCTCATGAAGTTAATTATTGTTTCCACTTGACTTTTTTCCTAACAGGTGCCCCTTCTGCTGAACTTTTAGAAGCTCCCATTACCAGCATGGATCATCCATTTCTAAAAGCATTTCAGGGGCCTTCTAGTTCCACTCAAACCATCTCACAGAGAGCAGGTGATGTATAAGTAGGATAATACTGTTATACAAAAATAATTTAATATAAAATTAAATTATTTTATTAATGAATTGAAGGATGATTAGGGCTAAAATAAAAGTTAAACATTGAATACTGAAACCTTGTTATGTGAAAAGTTAGTACAACATTCGTGTACTTGAAATGCTTAGAATAACTGTTTTCTTAATGCTTGTTATTTTTGCTCATGATGTGGTTTTTACCTTAAATGATTTTCTTCTAGGATTTGTAATCTTCCCCATTAACGGTGTCACATATTCATTGGGTCAGTTTTTAAAATTTTTAATTCCTACTAGAAGCTCATCATATCTGAACAGGTTGCACATATTCAGCATAATCCTGTGAAACTGCCTTCTGCCAGAAAGTCTTTTCTAGGTGGAATTATAGATCAGTTGTGCCTATTTTATGTCCCTTGTTTAGTATAAAAATTTAGCAATTACTATAACTACACAGTTTGTAATAACTGCTAACCTAGATTAAAGAGATTTCTCTTTGATCCCAACTGCTGCGTTTTGTACTTGCCTGTAAAGATGAGTTCTCATTATACATGTATTTTGCCAAATATAAAACATAACTAATGGAATAACAAATATCCTTAATGAAAAAGGTTTTTTTTTTGTTGGGGTTTTTTTGTTTGTCTGGGGTTTTGTTTTGTTTTGTTTTTCAGGTAGTTCAAGTGCTACAGGGCAAATTTCTTATGGAAAACCTTCAGAAGAAGATGACATGGCTTACTTTGAAAAACGTTATCAAGAACGGGCAAGTTACTACATTTGTTGCCTAATTTAAATACACTTTCACAAGAGGATGTCTAAAAAAGATACATGTGTGATTTAAGTAGCATATAAATGTGTCCTATAGTTCCTTCTCTTGTTTCTGTAAGCACTAGCTTCTTAACATAATATTTTAAAAACAGTTAAGAGCTATTACAGGATTTCAGAGGTCAGTCATGCGGGATGCCATTTACCTTAACTGGGCAGATGTTAATTGAATTAACCCGCTCTTATAGAAAACCAAAATATTTTACTATGTGACAAAAAGAAACAACAAAGCAGACTCACAGAAAGTCCCCTGTGACATTTAGGTCTGTGTGTTTGTTATGTCATTTATAAAATTCATGGTGTTCTTTTTTTTAATGAATGTCTGAATAAGTTGGGCTAAATCTGGTCTGTTTCTTAGATGATCTGTGTCACTCCCTTAGAGGTGTCTCTTCCACCCCAGTGACTATCTTAAATTTAAATGCCTGGTGCTATAGGTTGCTTACATGCTTAAAAAAACTATTCTTTCCCCACATTAGCTCCTTAACTCCACCATCTCAGCTGAAGTGTGTATCGACTGTTTATGAAATCTTTTGTAAGGTGGTGTTGTGTAATTAACTTTTAAAATCGAAAGCTGTTATGCTTGGTGCTTGCAACAAGGTGTTTGTTAAGGAGAAAGCTTTTCTAGCTTTGTGAAATGTTAAATAGTTTTCCTTATTTTGGAAATCATCACAAAATATGGTCAAAAATATTATAGTAATTAATAGAAAACATGTTACTATCAAACCCAAATTCCTCCATTTCTCCCTCCCCCCTCCCCCCCCCCCCGATTTTATTGTATTTGCAAAAGGTAGTAGGAATTTCAGCTATAAACTTCAAGCCTCCAAATAAGGAAAAATGTTTTAAAATCAGCTCCTGTGTAGACCAACAGGATTGCTTAGCAGTGAGTTCATTTGTAGGGACATCCAGATGAGGAATGAGGTTTGACTTCCTTTTGACATTATTTTATGAGGGAGAAAAAGCATGTTAATTTTTTTGGTTGCATTTTTGTTAGCAGTGTGATATCTAGTTTAGATGCAAAAGTCCATGCATTCTTTTAATGTAATTACTCTAAATATAATTTCATTCATTAATATAGCAATACTTGAGAACAACAGATATATTAGTTTGGATTAATTGTCTTACTACGAAATGGCAGAGTTAAATGTATATGTATTGTTAAATCATATCATGCTGTAGGAGCCTACTGTTTGGAAAAATCTCACGAGAGGAAGTCGTGAGCTTGTGGATCAGTGAGGAGACACTGAGACGGTGGTTTAGTGTCTATCTCAGCACCAGTCCTTTGTGACTTTGTGCATGCTGTTTCATCTAACTGTATCTGTTAGACATCTGTAATAAAGCTGCTTTACCTTTCACTGACACAAAGACAAACCCATGAACATTTGTGAGGCACACTGGCCTTGAGGGATACGTAAATACCTAGACTGCCATTATCAGAAATAAGGCAGCCCTGGTTTGAGTTGGGGAGGAGCAGGAGAGCTGTGGAAGTGCTCCTTTGTCCTATGGTGGAAACATGGCTAATAATGCTCTGTAGCTCTCTTCACTGAATGTATCACTCCAGTAAGTTTGTGGCTGCATGTAGCAATTTATACTGTGTTGTTAGCTGACTTGCAAATTAGTTCTTCAACCGCAGTTGATGTCTTTTCTTGTTACAGCTGAAAATGGAGAAAGCTGCTAAACGGAGAGGGAAAAGCCCACTGCCATCAAAGAAGCCATGAGATTAATAAATAAATAAATATTTATTATTTGGCACAGTGCTCAGCATTGCATTGAGTATTTTTCTCTGTGCCTACCTGCTTACTTGTGTTTATTGATTTATTTATTCTGTTTTGTTATTTTGCTGAACTTACTTTTTAATTTTCTTGTTATAATAAAATTGGTTTTTTAATCAATGTGTTTCTAATCTCCAGAACTGTCACACAGATATTTCTTTGGGAATAGAAAATCACATTTAGAGAGTTGCAGAACTGTTATTTAAGGTCTGAGAGAATAATCATGTATGGAAATATTAGGTTGTCAAAGGGCAAAGAAAAGAAATGTTTTACTCTTAGACTTTTATCATGTATTTTCTTTATTTGTAGAGCCCTTTGAATTCATCCTGTTGATGGATTTTTACTTGTTAAGATTTGTTTTGTTAATACTGACATTTTAATATGTCCTTTAAATTTTTTTCCCTTTCTCTTGGTTTCATTGCCTTTACATAAAATTCAAACATACCCTTCACGTTTCTCTAGGCTCTGTTCTTGCCATCTTATAAATATTTTTTTACATGTGGCGTTCTGTATACTTGTAAATCCATTTCCACACTTATGGGCTACTTGAAGGGATCTTGCTTGTATACTTTATCCCAGATTTCTCTGGTGGTACCATTTTCCCAGTTCTGCTTGTCTGTTACTGTCCATAACAACTATTACACTAAACTTCTGAAAACCTTAAGTGTAAATGGATTTGTTATTTATTGCATGTAAATAAATAATTGTGTAGTGTTTGATACAAACTTATTTATCCAGCAGAATCATCATGTCTAATCCAACATAGACTGAGGAGATGTGCTTTTGTATTCTTTGTCCGTATGCACAGCTGTGGCAGCCTATGTTGTATTAAAGGTAGTGGACAGGAAAATATAAACTTGGTGACTTTGTGTGATGGTTTAATTCTGTGAAGCAGCACAGCAAGAACTTGGTACAGAATAACTGGCAGAGGGTGCAGCTTAGGAGGTAAAAGCAGAGCCTGAGCTAAGTTTTTCTCCTTTGAAAACAGAGTGGTGTCAGTCAATCTGTCCTTAAAAATACTTGAGGATGTCTCTTGGATGACTTGAGGATGACTGGAGACTTTACAGATAGTATGTGTTTACTGAGGCTTTACAACATGAACTGGGAGAAGCTTAGAAAGCTTTGTTTCCCATCAGACAGAGAGCCTCTATGTGCCTGATTGGCAAAGGAAAAGAGGTGAGTTTGAAGGCATTTAATGCAGGGCAACTTGCCTTTTTGTTCAGATATCAGCTGTGCTAGGGAAAGAGAGTTCTTAGGAGTGCATGTGGGTCATACAGTGAGTGATGGAGACAGCTGGAGTCTGAGTGAGATGGGAGTGGAAGGCTCAGTTGCTGAAATTCAAAGATTTAAGAAGGCCATTTGCCTTAATTGCTACCTATACAACCGTTACTGCAGATGCAGATCGGACAGGCTAATCTGTTACATTAGTTTAAATGCATAATACATCAAAGAGTCTAATTAATTATAAAAGTTATAGAAGTACCTTTACCGTTACATTCTATACAGGTACATGCTACTTTAGCCTAACAAGTGAAAATACTAATTTGAGCTCCCTCTTCTGGCCCTGGCTGGCAATCTGTTCTACATATCCTCTGCTTGGCCTTGTGAGTAAATGGAGATTTCACAATGGAATCACAAGGAAAAAAAACCCCAAATATAAATAACACTGGTAAAAAAAAAAAAAAAGGTAACTGAAAATACAGAAAAAAAAATCAGTTTTCAGAGACATTATCACAAGCTTAATAGCAGAAGTTTATTCTAGTTTTGTATATATCCCCGTGACTATACCCACTAGGGAATGCAGTTCTGGAAATGTGTGTGTTTCAGGGATGAGCTTTCTCACAGAGAAATATTGTTAAAGGCAGAGGTTTTAATAGTTACAATAAATTTCTATTTTGTGTTCGTTTTTATACTGATAAGACTGATAAGTCTTAGGAAATAATGTATTGTGCTTTTTTGCCATTATAAGTTGAAAATATTTGTCAGTTTTAAATGTTAGCTCTGCCAAATTCAGTCCTACTAAGCTGTATTTTTATCATCATGAACTGGTTTTGTTAAAATAATTTTTAAAAATGTTTATTCTGTGCTTAAATTTATTTAATATTTGCACTTAAATCATATGAAAACATTCCTACATTTATTTTATGATATTAGTTTTTGGAAAACATGTTGAATTATAAAAATATCAACTGCATTTAAGTATTGCTTAGGAGTTCTGACCACTTTTCACTCATGTTGATGATGTCCAAGAAACTCAGTTCCTTACTAGAAGGCATACTTTCAGCTTCTTGGTATTCACATAATACTTTTTTTTCTGAAATTTTATTTATATCTATAGATGAAAAACCAAGCACAATATATCTCAATATTGCTGGCTGTGAAAAATAAACACGGATGTCATGTCTTAAGTGAAAATTGAATTTATCTTAAAAAAAAAATAAAATATGTAGGATCAAAATTACAACCTCCAATTCTGTTGAAAAATCTCTTCATACACCTATTACAAAATAATTTTTTTTTAAATAATGTAAAAACAGAGACCAAATGCTAGTGTGTTTGCCATTAACAGTTGTTATTAAATAAAGAGCTCATTTTAGCTGGTACTTGTTGACGGTTTGTTTTTCCAAGAGCAGCCATGAACTTTGAACAAAATATCATAGAACAGATAAGTTACAATTCATGTGTATGATTTATTGGTGGGCGTATATCAGTCGTTCAGCTAGACACATTAACGCTTTCTGACCCTGATCCAAGGAATCAGGCATGAGGGAAAGGGTTTGTTGTCATACACAAGAGTGCTCTAAACTGTTAAAACCTAATTGTATAGGTCTTGGGCAAAGCGTAAGCATGTCTCATTTTTAAAATAGCTGGCACTCCAATCAATATTTTGCCATTATTATCACACTCCTAGAGTGTAGAATAGCATTTTTTCACTAGTATTAATCATCCTGTGAAGAGGCTTAGATGTACCTTGGCTATTTGTGAGAATGGACACGGGTCAGTGATCCTAAGTGGAGGGCAAGGATCTCCTTCCCATCCTGTGTGTTTCTGATGCTAAATATAAACCATGTCTGTCTGTCTCAGGTTTGGGAGGAAGAGGAATGTGATGTGTGAATTCACAACCAGTAACAGCAGATTTACTTTGTCAAGCTGTCAGTGTCTTTACATCATACACAGTGTTGTGTGTATTAAACGGTTGGTGATCTTGTGGCTGTACGTCCCTGGAGCCTCTCTCTTGAAGTGGTCTGTAGCCATGTGGCCTAATGAAAAAAAGAGACAACTTTGCAGGTAGTGATAGTATTTTTTCTTAGCACAAAAGTAATTGAAAACAAACCCAAAGTTTTTCCAGTCTAAAAGACCTTGCACAGGTGTACCTGTTGTCGGGTGTTTTTTGGGTAACTAAATGTGCTACTTTTGCCTGGAAGCCTACTCTTGCTTTGGAGTCTTTAGCATTTGTCTTCTCATGGAGTGAATCATTCCTTGCTTCATGCTGGTTTTACATTCACTGTACCCATGCTGTCTGGCACAGCTGGGCATTAATCCCACGGGTTCTTTCCTCACTAGGGAAGGTCCCAGGCTAAACCATAACATGTTGCCTATGAAATGCTGTGTCACGGGCAGAATAGGAGCTTCAAACAATGTTTATTAGAGAAGCCTTCCCGCTGAGTCACGAGGTGCAGCAAGGACCCCTTGCTTTCTGAACTGCTCAGAGAGGAGTCTAGTTGGGTCTGGATCCAATCCTAGCCCCAGACTTGCTCAATGTTTTATGTCTAAACAATCATACAGATGTAATTGAACTTTTGTACAACTTTATCCCGCAGAATTAAGGATTGCAAACCAGATAAATTTATATATAAAAAATATTTATTATGATAAGGATTAGACTAAAATATCCTAATCAGAATTATTTACTACACAGTATAGAAGCTGTAAAGCAATATTGAATCGGTTATATTACAGCTAGCAAAGACAGTTATTAAGTAGAGACTGGTGCTATTCATGCATACCAACAACTGTGGGGAACTCTCATTTGCTCAGACTCACTCAAGGGAGTAAACTCCACACGCACTCCAAAAAGGGATATGTTAGAAGACCCTGCTATTAGAAAGTGGGACTGGGCTTGACTGTCAGTCAGTGATTGATTGACTGTCAGTAAGATGTCTCCAGGCCAGCTGTGTCAGCTCAGCCTAAGTTCTCAATAGTATCACTTGTTTGTTCCTTTATCAGGCATTTTATCAGCTCTGCCACACCTCACCTTCAGAATGTTTAACTTTGCGGTTGATGAATCAGACTCATCAACAGATTTCAGAATCCTTTGTCACAAATAGAGACACTGAGTACGAAAAAGGTGAAGTGGGGTGTTTTTTGAAACAAACAAGTACATAATCCTATGCTTGAGGAAAATGTATTTTTTTCTTTCCCTCAATATCACAGAATTACAGAATAGTTTGTGTTTGAAGGGCTCTTAAAGATTATCTAGTTCCAAACCCCCATCATGAGCAAGGACACTTTTCACTAGACCGTGTTGCTCAAAGCCCCATCCAACCTGGCCTTGATCATGGTGTGGGCTGCCATGCTGAAGAAGCTGTAACATTTTGGGTGCAGGTTAATTCAGAAAACTATTTGATTTTAGCTGAGATGTTTAATCTTATCTCCTCCCCCTCAGCAAGTTTCTGTATAAGTAAAAATACTCGATAGCATTTGATGTTGGAAAAAGAAAAATAATTTAATTTAGATTTCAGAATTACAAGTATAATTACTCCCTTTTAAAGGGAAGTTATAAACAGTTATTCTTTTCTGAAGTGTCAAAAAGAATTTTCATCCGGTGAACGCATGATGAATGAAAATATGTTTGACAAGTAAGTTTGTAGCTACAGTTTCTTGAATACTTGGTAAAAAAAAAATTGATGACTAAAATACTTGCTATTGACTGACAAATACTGTAGGAGGCAGTTGGAATCCTGATGGGGGTAGATCTCCTACCCAAAAAGTGTCAGTTTTTGTGTAGGTGGGGAGAGCGAGAAAAAGTAAAAAACCCCAAACAATTAATAGTTTTCTTCGATGAGGGGGAAGGGGGTGTAGTAGGGAGAGGGGAAAATCCAGATGGAGTACCACAGCTTGCCTTTCCTGTTTGGTCTGCAGGCTCATCAGTGTGTGCATATTGGTCAACATCTGTGTAGCTTTGAGCCAGCTGGTGGAGGTAATGCTCCTTGTCATGTTCCAAGTAGGAATTTGGGAAGGGGGACCAAACTTTACTCATTCTGTTTATGGAATAGCTTTTTCTAATAAAGGGGGTTTTATATGTAATAGTCATACTTAATTCTCCCCTGGCATTCTGAAACTCAGTTGCAGTGTTTTATTTAATATTGTAAGGTACAAAAGCTAGGAGTGTGCTTCTAAGGTTAACTAAATGTTTGGTTGCACGAGTGTTTTCTTTCCAGCTCTGAGCTCTGGATCCCTTCTTTTGAGTTATGAGTAGAATGGTGTCTACTGAAAGCCATGTTACTGGAATTGACCTAGTTTTACAGTGGTTCAGATAAGTTGTAAGTGGAAAAACTCTTCTCCTCTCAGCCAAACCAAAACCCAAGTTTGCATGTAAAGAGATCGAGGGGTATGGAAGAGCTGTTGTCTTCTTTTATTAAGGAGTGAAAGAAATCAGATACCACATGAATACTAACGTTTGTGAGGATTGGTAAGTAAGGTCTGCAGACAGCTAGCTGGTAATTAAACTGTTAAAATTGTTCTTTGCAAACTATTTCTCTGGGGTACATTACCTGCCCAGATCTGTTTCATTAATTCTCGGAAGAAATTGAGAGCAGGCTTGCAAGTGTACCTAAAATCATGAAGACTGAAAGATTAAGGTGGGGCATTACTTGTCTCAACAGCTGTGTGACTGTTTTGATTTAATTTTTGGCTGTTATAAGCCATCAAGTATCTATTAAAAATGACAGTTAAGAACTTCATGCTCTCTCCACACTTTGAATGTCAGTAGATGTAATGACCTCTTGAAAATATGTTGTGTGCTGGCTGAAGCTTGTCCTAGGATTAATGCAGTTTTTGGCAAACCTGATTTTAGTAAGGTAAGTAATTTTTGTATAGGTGGAGGGTTTTTTGTTTGTTTTTGTTTGTGGTTTTTTTGTTTGTTTGTTTGTTTTTGTTTGTTTGTTTTTTCCCACCTGGATATAAAAGCTTTAATTCTGTGCAACCACTGTTTAAGATATTTTCTTTATCTTTGATTATGCTGTGGGCTCTATTCGCTAAGTTCTCTTTAAGAACTGTTGGCTCTCCTAAAGAAAAAGCTTATTTTGTGTGAGCAAGTTTTGCTGGGCTTCACACTTCAGTAAAATTATGGAAACATTGTTCTTTTTTTTTTTTTTTTCCCCCCAACACTCATTAAATACTACAATAAGGTAATATACAGAATGCTGAATTGTGTTTCTTTGTCCACTGTACCTTACGGTTTTTTTCTTTCACAAGAGGGCAAGACTTTATTTCAGAGAAGTGGTTCTTTACTCCATCTCAAGAAGTGTGAAAGATCTTTTAAAAATCTGTAATGTTGAATGTGCTGGATGAAGTACTCTTGAGGAGATAACCAGGACATATTTAGTAGCAGTTCTATGACAAACATCCAAAGGGTAATGGCATGATGGAAATGACCTCAAAGAGTTGCTAATCAGCATTATGAGACTGATACAGAGGGCCAGTAGTTCCTATTTAAAATGGTCATTTCTAGACAGGCTATTTGGCATGGAAACATTAGGTTACGTATCTGGCCATAAAAAGTCTTCTATATTGCTTGTTAACTGTAACCTTTAGAGAAAATAATTGCCAGCAGAGATCTGTTTTGTTACTTCGAGTTTTGTCACTAAGCTTTTAGACAGCTGCCAGCTTAAGAGATTTCTCTAACTCAGTTCCTTTCTCTGAAGTGTATCTGGGCTCAGTACAGAAGATTCTGATCTCTTCATCATGCTTATATTCTAGTAGTTGTCAGTGCGCATTTCTGTAGGAGGTTTGCATAACCTCTGCTGATTTATATTTTATCTTATTATGCAGTGTCAGGTGTTGTGCACTGACTGTGGAAAACCTTAAATTCCGAATAGACTGAATGCAGTTAAAATTCCACCAAACTTGCAATGTTTGCAGTGTTGGTGAGAAGTACAGACTCTGAGCACTGCAGAGACCAGCTGATCAGAACTTAAACATGTGTGACCAGGTGAGTAACAGATTTTATTTTATTTAGATTACTTGACCTGAAGCAGATGTTGCCAAATACCAGCACAGTGTTCCCAGGAAGAGTCCTCTGTTTAACTGTGAAGGTAGGGCATGCTTGGAAGGTCTGTCTGATCTGTTGCTGTGAACCTACTCTAGAAATTAAATGGTTTTGTCAAAAATGGTTCAGATCGTGCTGGGGAGGTGATTTTTAGAGTGCACTTTTGCTATCTTCAGAGCCTCAAGTCTATTTCTGTCTGACCCAAATTCTCTTTCTGGCACTAAGGAAACAAAGTACCTCTGTTTCTTCCCCTTCAGAGGAAAAGCACACTTCCATTGGTCACAGAACCTGTGATAAATTCACTTACATCTATGAGCTACTTGAATGCCTGGGTGCTACGCACACTTTTGGTCAAGAGAAAAAATAGCAGGTGGGAGTAGGAACCCTGTTGTTCCTGGCCGGCACTGAACGTGAAAGTCTCAGGAGATGATGGCAACAGGACTGGTAAGTTTTACTAGTGGTGTTCTCATTTTCTGGGACACCTTTAACAGTCATAGCCTGCCACTTCAAGGGTTGTCACTGGCACTGCCTGTGCTTCACTAGCCAGTGGCTTGGGAGTGGATGTTGCCAGAGGAGGAGGAAGCAGGAAGCATCTGTCCAGCTTGCCTTGTCTATCATATAGAAGAGATCCCAAGAGACCTTGAGCATGGCCTCATTCCCGTGCTCCTATTGACATTACTAAATATGATTTCTTAAGACAGATAAAAATCTCTGTTGTGAATTCCTTGAGTTTTTTTTTTTTTTTTTTTACTAATAGTTCTTATTGCTTGAGCTAAAGCTTTATTTGCTTGCTCTGTGTAGCTTTCCTGATCCTACAACTTCCATTCTTAATTTTTAACAAAACCAACTGGTTTTCAGCTGGTGGGGAAATAAGAAGAAAACTCTATCAATAAACGATAACTTTCTTGCAGATGTCTTGCAAAGAGCTTGAATACATTCCCCAGTCTTTCCAAACTGTTTGTCTTTGGTGAAACTGGTGTCTGCCAATTATGGCATTTCCCAATTTCTGCATTAATAGTTTGAGTAAAGCAGATTTATAAAAGAATTGGATAACCCAGTTGCCAACTTCTATTGAGAGTCGATGGGACTTCGGATTTCTGTCAGTTATGATACGAAATTCTTCAAGGCTGAATATTGAGGGAGAGCTATTGATGTTGAAGTCCAGTCTGATGTTGACAGTGATTAGGTCAGGTACAGTTGTAGTTATACAGATAATAGCATTGTTTCAGAATAAATGTGTTTAACATAGGATTTACCTGTGCAGCTATTTGGGTTTTGTTTTTAAAGATGCCATCTTTTCCTCAGAAGACAAATGGTGGATTTCAGCTTAAACTTTTCAGAGTGTCCAGTATACAACTTCATTATATCTTTATTTTAGAGGGGAAGAAGTTTATGAGCAGCCCAGCTTTTGAAAAAGAAATAAAAATACATCACAAAGCCAAGCATAAAGACGGTACTGTTGTTGCCCAGGCAGAGTACAAAAAAATAGGTACTGGAGAAGAGGTGGTCAAGGCAGGGTTTACTAAAAATGCACATCTCCAGGAAACACTAAAGATGAGGGGAAAAAAAATAGCTGTCACACAGAAGTAACATTGGAAGGTAAAAGTTTCAATTTTACAGTGGATAAAGAAGTCTGATCAAACACTGTACAGCACCCCAAGAGGACACCCTGACTGAGGAGCTGCCAGCTCAGGGAATCAGAATTTTTCTGGAAACCATACGTTTGGCCCAAAGCAAGCCAGTGGAATGTCATAGGGCACCTGGTGTAAATGATCTGATTAGCTCAGTTTCCAGGATGGTAGCGTATCAGAAGATGGAAGTGGTGCCTAAAATACAAATTTAAATTCTTCTCTTTTCAGCATCAGGTAGTACTGGTACTCAATGGAAAGGAAATACATGTGTGTATGTGTGCATGCTGTGGTTGTGGGAATAAGGACATTAATCTGTAGAAAACTATACATTAGTAGTATTGTTGGTTGGAGAGCTTGCTCTTCCCTGTTTGATTTTGAGAGACAGTTCTGATGTATCTTAATGCAAGATTTTGAAAAGAAGGAAGGGGTAGCAGCTTGTAAGCAGAAGAGAAGGTACCAGAAAGCTTAGCTGAAAGTGAAGGTTGCAGGACATTGCAGGCATCTAAGCAGATTTTGCAGTGATAGCCAATGCAGGGCTGCTTGTTTTAGTATCTGTGTAATTTCCATAGGCTTGTCCTTGAGCCTTTTTGGAGCTATCTCCTCCTTATTTATCTCTATTAAAAACTCACTGGAGAAATATATGGATTGTAAAAGTACATTTACCTAGCAGGACAGACATATTACGGTGATTTATTTGTGTGGGAATGTAAGAATGTGTGCTTATAAGAAATAAAGCCAGCAATCACAGTTTGAAGTAAGCTTTAGGGGATAATGGTTTGTCTGCAACTTGTAATTACATTGACAAGAGGTGGTGGTAAGTTGGCAGATACAGTTGTTGTCAGAAATCTTTTTAGAGAGACTTGCCCCGCAGTTTCTAGGATTGCCATGGCAACGGGCTGCTGAGGAAAATGTTTGTGGGTGGGAAAAATGTTACTTGGCATTCAGAAAGTTGAGATGGTGTAAGAAGTATAATGTTCTCCCAAAAAACTTATTTAGAATTTGCCAGTGTTCCATAATATGATCTTCTGTAACATTTTAGAATCACCTGAGGGCATGCCCTCCCGCTTGCCATCACAGTATCAAAGCCTGTTTTTCAGTTAGATCAGTTAGGCAGGTCTGTGTTGTTAACATATACTAGCATGAAATGAAGTGTGCTTCAAAATAGTCCAACTTCAGAGTAAAGTGTCTCATCCTGAATTATATTGATACTCTGATCTGCCCTGTTTTTTGAGCTACAGATATGCTGTGAATCTGATTTTAAAAAAAGGAAGAGGGCTTTTCTTCTTTTTGGCACACAGTGTTGAGGCACGTTTGTGTACAAAGTTGTCCTGACTGGCCTTAGAAAAACACCTTTTAGGGTATAAATCCCAACATTGACCCTAAAATGCTTTGGCTTATTTATTGGATAGGAGGTTTGAGTTACAATGGAGTTTGACTTTTGTGGGTTAGGTATTGTAAATGCGTATTGTAAGATGCAAGTATATTGTAAGATGCTTTTTGGATGGAAAAGGCTTTTCAGTTAGTGATGGGGAAAACATACAAAGGGTTGTTTGCAAATTATGTGATTAAAAAAAATTAATTCCTCTTAATTAATTTTTAAAAGGAAAATATTGTAGCTTCCACCTCAGTGTCAGACAAAAGCTTGGGACAAATAAGATCAGATCAGAAGCTGTCTGAAGAGAAACAAGCTCTCAGAAGGAGAAATATAAATCTCTTGCAGAGCAGAAGGAACTAGAACTGAAGGTTCAAGAGCTGAAATGTGAACTTCAGGTATATGGAAATGTAAAGTAGATACTTTTCACTGCGAGTGTTTCTGACAATGCTTCTGTCTTATAGTTTCATCATACTGCAGTTCAGCTCTGAACTGTTCTTTGGAAGAGAGAAGGAATTAACTGGTTGAGTGAAGGCTGTCTTGCCCTGGTGCAGGGAGATGCTGACAATAGGTGTTAGCACAGGTTTTTCAGTCCAGGTTAGACCTGAGCTCCCCTTGGTGTATATGCTGGCTTGCCACCACACTTGATGAAACTTCTGGTTTGTATGAAGGTTTTCAGGTTAATCACTTGGTGATTAAAATCATGCTTTGTGTGTAAGGGTGTGATCTTTGCCTTTCTTTTTGTTTTGTTTTTTCCTCACTTAGAGGGAAAAACAGTTTTCTCTGTCTTGGGCTGAAAATTTATAAGCACCACAGAATCATAACAGATGTAGAATTTTAGAACTGCATAAAAATGTGTATTTCCTTAATTGCTGCTTAATAGAAAGGATCCTTCTTTTTATCTCCAGGGGAGATTCCTAGCATTCTAAGAGAAGCACAATACTTAGTTACTGATAGGCTTAAGAAGGCTGTGAATGGTGATAAATGGCAGAAGTATGAAGAGATTGTGTGAAAAAAATCATGTTTGCATGAATTCGGAAAAATGTTGTTCAAACTCTTATCCCTACAGATATGAAAGGAAAATCTGCCATTTTGTAAATCCCTTTGACATCCCCAAACCCCAAACTTCCACCCAACTGTTTCTTTTTCTTGCAGACTAAAACTAGTCATAACCAGCTTTGTTACTTGGTTAACTTTTCCTAGAACATCAGATTCTGCATCCACTGAAGATATGATGTTTGTTTCGATGCAAACTAAATTAATAAGCAACAGAATACATGATTGCAGCTAAGAAAAGCCATTTAAATGCAAGAAAATCTTAGAAGCATTTCTTACATATAGTGTGATGATTTTTTAAAAACAGCCTGTTTTCTACAAATTTTAATTTCTATTTTGTGCTGATTGCACATAAACTATTTTAAAAGAAAAGATTGTGGATATTCTTTTAAGTGAGACAATATTTCCTCCCTGCTAAAAACACTATGGTAGGCAACGATTTATTTGAGAAGGGTGATGTGTGGTGGTGGCTTTGAGGGGTACTTCAAAAAACACCCTGCCGTCATAAGACTTTGGAAGCATATCTGCAAATACAAAACTCTTCATATCTCTATATGTCTTTGTTTTGTTCATTTGTTGGCATTTCTGTTTGTTTGTTTTTTCTCATTTAATATCGTCAAATGAGTCCGAAAGGCTAAAAACATTTACAAGTCTGCATTTCATTACCTAAACTGGAGTTTATAAAAGCATCTCTGTGGAATCAGGGCAGGAGTTTTCAAATTTAGGTTGCCCCTGGAGAAATATAGCCTGATGTGGTGCTTGTGCTTTTTTGGGGGTCAAGAATATTCCTTATTTTTTCTTAAGGATACTCCTTGTAGGAAGGTCAGGCTGGTTGTAAGTAAAATGAAGGTTTTTCTTCACTGTTTAGAGTTGTGGCTGTGATGGGAGTGAGGAGTTTAAAGATTTCCCTGGGCTTGATTTCCCTGAATTAATGAGTAGGCATTTTTACACAAGGGAGGCAAAAAATTCCATGTTGTCTGAAGACTTGCTAGTAAATATGGAGTAATTGAAGAAATCCACTACTGAAACTAGAGGAAGGAAATTAACTATTAAGCTCTGTGAAGCTAATAATAAAATTATTCTCATTGGTTTGTATGTCTTTCTAGGCCTTTTGTCAGTGTTTTGAGGAGGGCCAGCTCTGTGTGTATTTATCTCTAGTTTTCAGAAGTCTAAATTATGGTCTGCGTGTTGGTAGCCTTGGTTGACTGTTGTGACTTTTGATCTATCTTTCTCTCACTTTGTTGAAACACTGTTTCAAAAATGATAAATAATTCATAGAGAAGGAATCATCTAAGAAAATGGAAAGCTTTGAACAACGTACTTGCAGTGGAATGAAAACAAGAAGTTTGGCTGCTGGGGTGAAGGCACTGAAAAAAGTTAGGTATGTATTTCTTTTTGGTAAAATAATACTATTAATCATTGCCTTGCTTATCTCTCGAAGCCATGCATGCTTTTTTGTTTCCCAAACGTTCTGTTTTCCTAATTTTCTAAGAAAAATGCAGTGTTCTATGCAGAGGGGAGTATTTCCCAAAGGCATGTCTGAAACCTGGGTGTTTTGGGAGCTAACACTGGAATTTGCATGATCTGTTTCTCGGTGTTTATCAGATAACTTTGGTTCACTTCTGCCCTTTTACCATCACTGTAGCAAGAAGAGTTTTCAAGTCCATCTTCCAGGAAGATGCTAATTAGTAAATTGATAGAAGTGACTGGGTAGTCAGAGCTCCTTGGGTATCTCTATTGCTGGGAGAGGTGTATGGCTTTGGGTAGCCCAAATTACCTTTCTGCTTTTAAAGAAGTGACAAAAGTGCAATGGGAAGAAGACTTGAAATAGCAGTGACCATTATTTCCTTTAAAAAGGAACGTGTGAATTGGTGCATGTGTTTGTGGAAGATGAGTTAAAAAAATATACCAAAGGAGGAAACAGAACAAAAGGAAAATTAGAAGCAGGAGGGAATTCCCATGTACAGCCTTGTCAGTACTGAGGTATAATGAAGGTATTCTTGATCCTTCCTCAAAAAAAAAAAAAAAAAAAAAAAATTAGAGCTGAATGAGACAAATTGTGTTACTTTTTGACTTTTTGAAAGAAACTAGGCTATTAACATGGCAAGTGCTATCTCAAAATCCATATATTCAAGGAGTCCGAATAGTGTTAATTTTTAAACTGTCCGAGTTGCGAAAATAATCCTGGTAAAATGTTGTTTCTTCCTTATAACTTAGGCAGATAAAAAAAGAACAGTCATTTTGGGGAGCAGCTCTCACAAGCCATAAAAATGGTTGCAGATGTTTCTCTCACTATTCTGTGTTCCTTGGAAAAGCTGTAGAAGGTTTGGACAGAATATGACTTGGCTTAAAGGAGGATTCGATTATGCAGAAATATGGTAGGTTGAAATTGTTTTTTTCTCAGAAGCTATAATTTGGCAGCTACTGACAGTGTCTTTCAGTTTTGTAAGTGTAGCTGGACAGCATGAGCACAGCACGGAAACATTTCTCCCTTGCTAGATGACATTGAAGGCTTTGCTACATTTGCCACAACTGATGTACTTGTGGCAGGGTTTTTTTGTTTTTGGTATGTGTGTGTTAAACATAGACTTTCTGGCACCCTTGATTTTACAAAGAAATATAAGGAAATCAGAACACGGTAGCTTAGAGGGTTCTGTGCTGTAATAGAAAGCACTTCGGCTCTGCAGCTGCGTTTCCTGTCTTCAAAACCTCCTGTTGTAGCAGCATGTCACTACTTGGTGCGTGCTTCCCTCCTGTGGAGAGCTCAGGGGCAGCGGTGTGGAAATGCGGTGCTATAGGAAGATGGAATTGTACAGGGGAAAGCTGCCATCTAGTGCAGCTTCTCTGGAGCCACAAATCTGAAGGAGCCTGCGTGGGTGTGCAGGCTTGGCTGTGTTGATAAGGATGGGTATGTGCTGCTTTTGGGAACGCGAAGTGTCCTCGGTCTGTGGCAGGATTTGTGGTAAGGCAGGGAAGGGATGGTAGTTGTGTACCCAGGAGAATGTGTTGTGGCTATTTTCAGGTATAACTTAAACCATTTTAAACATGTTTGCTTACGAAGCTTTGTTGTGTTATACTGAATTTAGCAGCTTGTGAAATGGAATAGGAAACACTGAGCTATGAGGAGAACCCAAGTAAGTTCTGTTTTTGTTGCCTGTGCATGGAAAACATCTAGAGCATGGCATACATTTGATTCTTGTTGGTGAAAAGAAATTCCTTTGTTTACTAAAACGCAGGTCAGTGTTTAAACTTGACACCATTGAGATAAGTGTTACTAAGCAGATGAAATTTTAATGTTGCATCCTGTATAGGGGAGTAATGTGTAGAAAAATAGCCAGGTTGCAAGTTACCCAGGAGGCAGGGCTGCTCAGGGACCCCCTTACACAAGCTTTCCTTGTACGAATTCCTCATGTAATGATTCCATGTGAGATAGTAGCAGTTTCAGTTTTCTGGAGATTACATGAGACTGTAGGAAGAGAGACATTTCTGGAAGAATTTGTAATGGGAAGTTAGAACTCGTTTCACTAGGACGACTTCCTTCCTAAGGTGGTGGCTCTTTCTCAAAGGCAGTTTCAGTGCTCCCCCTCCTCCCCCCTGCACAACAAGAGAAGTTCTCAGCCTTGCTCTCTGGTATGCAGAGAGATAACATGTTTGTAGACACGTACGTGGCCTCCTCCGGCCAGAGAGAGAGTGAGGGAAGAGAGAGAGAAGATACAAGAAGCCTTGAAGGAGGAGGTGCTTTGCCTCTTGCTCTGGGGCCTGATGCATGCATGATTTTTTAAAAGTCGTCCTTGCATGTGAAATAAACCTTTTTTTTAATCCTTCCATTGCCTTGGCATTCTTGGGAAGTATACCTGTGTATCCTTACAGGATGATTGAGCTCAGTGGGGTTGTTGAACAACAGCCCGTAAGTAAAGCAAAGCCATCTTAGAACTTGTTTTCACCCCATTGGCCAGCTTTGCTTTGACTCAGTTGAGACGGAGATTGAGGAAAAGAAAACTTTTAATGTGGACCAAAGTTAGGCTGGATGCAGATTCTGTGGTGTGACTAGATAGTCTCAAAGGTATTTATTTAATAGAGGAGATGATTTCTTTGGTGCCATTCTGGTGACAGAGTATGTATGAGGTATTTTGGGCTTGTGGTTTTGTTTTTGTGTTTCCAACCCCAGCAAGCAGCATTTTTCCATGACAAACATAATGAAAAAGTGTTTCATTCTTGAAGACTATTTGAGTGATGGACTAGTTTCTTGGAATATGTTTGACGGTCTGGACATTGTCATCCATTTCAGTTGTGAATGGCTAACAATAAAGTCATCTCTGCATGATGAGCTGTAGTGTGTTACACTGCCAAAATACTCAAAATACTGCTGAAAGGAGCTTACAGCACTTTGCTGCTTCTGGTAGCTCCACAAGTGTTTGTGTAGCCGTCTTGTTTTGTGTGATCAATGTGTGGCCTCATGTGTGGCTTAAAAACTATTTTTGTTCAGAAATCAACCCCCTCCACACCCCTCCAGGCTCCCCCACCCATTCTGATATTATTCCTGACCCATTCTGATATTATTCCTGATTGCCTAAGAGAAGATGCAAAGGAATGGTGGCATGAAATCTTATTACTTTCCAAGAACATGCTGCTGTAAAAATAATTCCTGCTATCTGAAGTGGGGAAGTTGTCATAGCAGTGTCACAAATATTTTAAATCGGGAAAATTAAAGAAGGCGGAAGTTCTGCAGGATGTCAGCTATCCCCCAGAGTGCCCAGGTGCTGCAAGGGTTATGCAGGTGGGAATGTGTTTGGAAGTGTGGAGCTCTCTGAAGAATTAATGTAGTTTTCAAGATTAACAGGTAGCAGCTGGAAGCAGGACACCTTAAGGGTCTTGTGGAGTTGAAGTATTTTCAAGTATTTGGCAAGTGAAGGATACAGAATAAGAGTTTTGTTGGCATCATGCTAGTCTTGCAGTGCCACACAGATTACAGAATCACAGAATATGCTGAGTTGGAAAGCACCCACAAGGATCATCGAGTCCAACTCTCAGCCCTGCACAGGAGCATCCCCAAGAGTCACACCACGTGCCTGAAAGTATCGACCAAATGCTTCTTGAACTCTGTCAGGCGTGGTGATATGACCACTTCCTTGGGGAGCCTGTTCCAGTGCCCAACCACCCTCTGGATGAAGAACCTTTTTCTAATATCCAACCTAAACCTCCCCTGACACAACTTCAGGCCATTCCCTCAGGTCCTGTCACTGGTCACCACAGAGAAGAGATCAGTGCCTGCCCCTCCTTTTCCCCTTACAAAGAAGTTTTAGACTGCGATGAGGCCTCCCCTGAGTCTCCTCTTCTCCAGGCTGAACAGACCAAGTGCCCTTAGATGCTCCTCATACAGCTGCCCCTCAAGGTCCTTCACCATCATCATTGCCCTCCTTTGGACTCTCTCTAAGAGCTGAATATCTTTCTTATATTACAGTGAAAAAATTGGCCACAATATTCAAGTGAGGCCACACCAGTGCAGAGCAGAGCAGGACAATCCCTTTCCTCGACCAGCTGGTGATGCTTTACCTGATGCCCCCCAGGACATGCTTGGCCCTCCTGGCTGCCAGGGCACTGCTGACTCAGATTCAACTTGCTGTTGACCAGGACTCTCAGGTCCCTTACCAGGATCTAATTTCCCAGTCTGTATGATCACCTGGAGCTGGCCCATCCCAGGAGCTGAATCCAGCTCTTTCCCTTGGTGAACTTCATATGGTTGGTGATTGCCCAGTCCTCTAATTTATCAAGGTCTCTCTGCAGGACCTCCCTTCCTTCGAGCGATTCAACAGCTCCTTCCAGTTTTGTGCCATCTGCAAACTTGCTTAATATCCCTTCCAGTCCTGCATCCAAGCCATTTATGAAGATGTTAAAGAGCACAGGGCCGAGGATAGAGCCCTGTGTAAGCCCACTAGCGACAGGCCGCCAGTTCTATTGCCAGACCCCATGCACTATTACTCTCTGTGCTCGACTCATGAGCCAATTGCTCACCCACCACATGATGTGTTTACCCAGCTGTGGGCTGGACAGTTTGCTCCTGTGAGAGGCTTTACTGAAGTCCAAAAAGATGACATCAATTGGCTTCCCCTGATCAGCTAGGTGGGTTACCTTGTCATAAAAGGAAATCAGGTTTGGTAAGCCAGACTTTCCTCTCATGAAGCCCTGCTGGTTTTAAGCAGTGACTGTGTTGTCTTTCAGATGTTTTTCAGTACCTCCCAGAATAATCTTCTCCATATAGCTTGAATTGAGATTGACAGGCCTGTAGTTTCCGCAGTCCTCCTTCTTGAATATTGGGACCTTTGCCAACTTCTTGTCATCTGGGACCTCTCCAGATTCCCAAGAACACTCAAAAATCATCGAGAGAAGTTTTGCAATGACATCAGTTAGCTCTTTGAGGATTCTTGGATGAATCCCATCAGACCTCATAGATTTGTAGGGATCCAGCTGGAGCAGCAGATCCCACAAAATCTCAGCTTCGACTGGGAGCTGATAATTCTCACAGTAATGGTCCTCCAGCTGAGGGCACTGAGACTCCCTTGATCCATCAACTGTTGAAGACAGAAGCAAAGAATGTGTTAACACCTCTACCTTTGTCTGTCCCTGTTTGTGAGGTGACCATCCTCATCCTGTAATGGGCTGATGATGTTTCTCTACTGCCTATTACCATTAATGTATTTGAAAAAACCCTTTGTATTGTCCCCACATTTCTGGCAGCTTCAACTCCAGCTGAGCTTTGGCTACACAGATTTTCTCCCTACAGTGGCAATCACCATCTCTGAACTCTTCCTGTGTCACTTGACCTTGCTTACACTGGGCATACACCTTCTTTTTTGTCTTATTTCCAAGGGAAGATTCCTGTTCAGCCAAGCTGGCCTTCTGCATCGTCTGCTGGATTTCTGGCATTTGGGAATTGCCTACCCTTAAGAGTTCGTGTTTGACCGTCACTGATGGGTGCCAGCACCTGCACAAACATTTGCACAGGGGACCTTACTTACCAAAACCCTGAGCAGCCTGGAGTCTGCTTTCTTCATATCCAGAGTTGAGGTGTTGTTGCCACTTTTCCTCCTGTCAGAGATTTTTAAGTTGATGGCTTCATTGTTGCTGTGGCCAAGATGGCCACCAATCTCCACTTCTCTCATGAGATCCACTCCAGTGACAAGCAGCAGATCAAGGAAAGCATCTTTCCAAGTTATGACCTAAAGTTGTCATCCAGGTCTTTAGGAATCTTCTGGCCCAGGCTGTACCAGCTGTGTGATGCACTCAGTTTCTGGCAAATTGAAATCCCCTGTAAGGACAAGCACAGTTGACCTGGAAGTTTCCCTTAGTTCTTCAAAGAATAATTTATCAGCACCATCATCCTGGCTGGGAGGTCTATAGCAGACTTCCACAATGACATCCACGTTACTTGTTTGCCCCTTGATTCTTATCCAGAGGCTGCCAACTGTGCCAGTGCCAACTGTGAGCTCCATACATTCTAACACTTCTATTACATACAGTGCCCCCCTTCCACCTCTCCTGTCCTGCCTGTCCCTACAATGTGCGGCATAGTGACTTAATTTTTTATTTTGCTGAGAGTAATTTTGATTTTTAAGGATCTAGTTTCTCTGCTGTACCATGCCACAGTCTTGGCTACTGTATTTTCAAATACAAGAAATGTCCCAGATGCACACAGTAAATGGTGTGCTTGTTAGTCTGCCTGTCATACCTGCTTAGATTATACTGACTGTAGGTTGGCTAGCAGACATTTTTGATATGCATTTTGATTAGCAACTAAGTGTGATGATGTCACTGACTTAACTTCCTGCTCAGTTAAAATGTGTAAATCCATTGTACAGGAAGCCCAGTGAACCCAAACAGATGGATGAAATAGCTGGCTATTAAACTAAAGCAAACTGTTTAATTCTGCTCAATCTGTTAACCTAGCTGCCAAAATTGCCTTTACAAAGTTAAATCTTGCTGTTCAGCTGCCTAAGCAATGTGCTCTTCCTTTAACCTCCCTGAAGTGCTGGTGTCCTCTCTCACTGTCACAAGGCTCGTTTGGAAGTGAACATCTTATCTTGGTTTGGGGAAATGTAATGCATCTCAAACAGCCATCCCGGGTGTGAGTAAACACAATAAAGTTTGAGTGCAGAGTAAGTGGCATTATTTCAATTTTCATTGTCTGTGCTTTTATAGTTGGTTTATGGTGGTTTAACTGTGTCTCTCCTAGATATTGTCCCAGAAATGAGGATGGGCGACTGGAATATTTTTTTAATAAGGTATTTATGGAAATGCTTAAAATACATTCAAAACTAATAATAGAATTTTATGTAAATTCTGTGTCCAAAGAGGAATGTAGTGGTGATGATCACTTTACCAGCTCTCCTACAGAAATATTACCGAAAGGATTGTATCTTTACAGATGAAAAAACAGGGGTAATTAGAAGTTCCCCTGACTGCCATGGAAGCAGGTACTTATAGGGTGTAATATACAGGCTGACTTCTCAGACACTGTAGTTAGTGTTACATGGATGTGTCGTTTAATTTGTGATTTCAATTTTGAAACTTACTGGAGACTGTAGTGTACATATTCAGCTTTTTCTTTTTTGCTGGGAAACATGAAAAATAACATGCTAATGTATAAAAAAGGGGACCTCTTCATTGCTCATTAAAAAAAAAAAAAAAAAGTGGGGGTTGCTGGGATAATTTGAACAATTTAAGGATGGATGTTGATGCCAGACCTACCTTTAGCTATTCCACATACTGCAAAGTACTAACTTATACTAAAGAGAGCCAAGTACTGCTGTTGTGGACTTTCATTAGCATTGCTATACTCACGAGAAACAAGATGGTGAGCCAGATTGGCAGCTCATATTATCAAGTCTGATGGTTGGTTATGTGGTGTTGTTTGTGCAGTTGTTTGTGTGGTGGATTTTGTTGTTGTGTTTTTTTTTTTTTTTAATGAACTAGATTTTGTAATTTGAGAAGCCTTTGGTCTGTTTTAAAGGAATTTAATTGTAATGTTTGCTACTGTGAAGAGCTTGTATCGTTGTAAAGCAGACTATTAAAAAATACTGCTTGTGTACTTAATGCTCTGTGAAGTTATCTAATGGGCATTATCTAAGCCAAGAAGTGTCCCATGTACACAGGTTGGAAGGAAATTTGTCCTGTGGCTCCTGAGCCATCTGTTGAGCTCCTTGATTGTCATTTAGTCCTGTGCAGACTGTTAAATTTTCTCTAGTGCTTTAACTGGTATTAACTGGAGTTTGGTTGCCTGGTTGAATCTTCTGCTACATTAAGTCTCAATTGCTCTAGTTTTTGAAGTGATATTCTGTAGAAGTCTTGGAAAGTGTTTTTATGACAAGGGGTCATTATTTTTTATGCAGCATGTTACAGAACTGGTTTACAAACTACTCCTTGCCTTTTGCAGGAAAAACAGCAGGAAGTCTCCAGCGATGCCCAAAAGTGCAAGAGTGCCTATTAAATCTTTTCTATTGTTGTTGTTTCGTTTTTTTAAGTGCTAAAGCAATACTTTCTGTTCACCCTCTGTAGTGCAATTAAATCCACTGATTTTTATTATCCAGCCTAATAATGTGTGGCTGAATTACAGCAACTGTTCAATTGCTAATCTGTTTTTAAAGCAGTGTGTGCTACAACTTGGGGTTTTATTTTTAGTTGGAGCTTCTCCATCTTTCAATTTCCAACCACTGGATCTCATTCTGCCCTTGTCTGTTACTGGTAAAAGATCTCTAGTCTATGGTGGATACTTAAAAATTGCTGATTAAGTCCATTTCTAAGATTTCACTAAATAAACGAAATTTAAGACCACATTTGAACCTGTGTTTGTGTATACATATTGATATTACAGATACATTTATATGATATATTTCTTTTTAGTTGGAGGTGTTCATTTGACTGTTCTTTGGCTCTATGTGAAACTGTTATTAGTGCCATGGTTAACTCTTCTATTGTTTTCTGTTTCCTCACTAATAATTACCCTCCACACCAGACTTTCCAAGGTTTTGAAGCAGCATGTGTGTGATAGGGAAGGGAACACACATCAGGACTCCATGTTATAGCTACTTCAATCGTTTTAATTTTTTAAAATTTATTTTTGGAAATGGATGCAGAAGGAAATAGCAAACCTTTACAGTGGGTTCATAAAGCTGGAGCTTGGTTTTCTATGTTCATATGTGTTTTCATATTTCTGTGGGCATGCTGAGTTAAATCACTGTGAAAAGAGCATTGCAACAAGTTTCCAAGTATGAATTTTTAATTTCTTTCACCCATTTCAAAAGATTTGGTTTTGATAAGTCTGATAGGTACCTTGTCTGTTATGAATATGGAATTCCTCTCCTATTAACGTAATTAATCCTGCCAGTCATTCACGGGAAGCTTTGGGGTTTTTTTCTACAAAATTTTCTTTAGTTTAATAATCTTTCTGCAGATAATCAGTAGGGAGTTCACAGGTCACCTGCCTTTCCTACTAAAAGGCAAGGATTTTTTTAATTCTAGAGCATTCTTTTCCAGTACGAAATCTTTTGCAGTCTGACTCTGTAGATGTAATTTTGGATGTATGGAAGCGTGGATAGTCCAAATTCTGATTTCTATAATTCAATCAAAACCCACAGGACAACCAGGACATTTTACATTTTCAGTGGCAGTTAAGATTCCCGCTGTTATCAACAGTCATGCAGCAACTATTTCTTTAGTTGTCTGATCATGTAGTCATATATTTACACTGTGAAGGGTGCTGTATTTGTGCAAGGTAGTCATGCCATAGGAGTGGAAGTTCAAAAAATTAGCCTTTTCACTCATTTTTGGGTGAGAGTTGCTGACTTACTTTTCTTTCTGCATAGGATGAAAGAGATGAATTGATTATCTTGCAAGATGAGGTGCAGCAGAACTTGTGTTCAGCAGTGAAAGAATTAATTTTGGAAGTGGATCAACTGCCCCCTCTGAGCCCTCAAGAGTGTTACAGGTAAGGAGATTGCTCTGATCAGTAGAGATTCTGAAACACCAAGAACCTGTGGAGGGCAATTTTTCAGCATTAAACATTTTATAATTGGAGACTTTGACAGCAGCAGATGAAGTTTTACGTAAAACTTCCAAGGTAAGTTGTACATCTGACTCCTGTAATACTTAATTTACTTGTGATATTGGTCTCCTAGATATTTTGTTTCTAGAGGGAAATTATTATCTAGATCCTGGATTTAGGAAACAGCTTTTGCTTTATGGAACTGTGTTTGGTGATTAACAAGACTTCATAGAGCACAGAATATTTAATAGAAGATGGCTGTTAATGAGATTAATTACAATTACAATTTTCTCTAGTGCTTCAACTGGTATTAACTAGAGTTTGGTTGCCTGGTTGATTAATTACAATTACAATTAAAACATCAATGCAGTTATCCTGTAAATTGTGGTAATGTGTTGTGTGATTGGATTACCTGCTTTCCTACCAAGAGTCTCTTTTCCTCTCAGACAACCCAAAACCACAAAGTAAGGATGTAGATAGAGAAATAAGCTCTGTAGAGGCAGTAAGGACTTTTGCTATCAGAAATAATTTATTTTCTTCTTTTTAACATCAGAAATATTACTTACCTTAATTTTGACTGTGCAAATGTGTGTGGAGAGGTGAAAAAGATTGTTGGTATTTGGGCAGCTTGTCTGTATGAGTTCCAGAGATTTATTCATCCACACATATATGAGATTGAATTCTTATGAATAATTGCCAAGATTGCACTCTGCACATAAGTTTGTATAAGGCTGGAGCAGCATTAATAAACTGAAGCAGTTAAATTTTCATGGAATTACTCAATTTCCAATGGAATTATTTTTCAGTGCCATTAAAAATGTTTCATACTCTTTTTTTTTTTTTTTTTTTTTTTTTATAGCGTGATGTACAGATTGATATCTAATTGGAAAAAGTTAGTGCATAGGTAGCATTTCATGCCTTTTTATCACTGGAGGCACTGTGAGAGTCCTGCTCCTTCAGATAGAAGAAAGTTGTGGTGTGTTATTTGTATGTTTTTTTCTGCTTTGTGGTTGGTTTTGGGATATTTGTATGAGTGTTTAAAGGCTATGCTATGTGAATCCACTAGGTGGTAGGCATCAAGCATCTTCTGCATAATTGTACAGAAGTGAAGTTTTAAAAGTGTTTAGAAAATGTTTGAAGGGGTAGTGAAATGTTGCTAAATGTGTTAATTAAATGTTGAGCTTTAGCTTAACTGTGCTGATGGTCCTCTCTTATGTTAGGAGCTGGAAGACCAAAATAGTTTTCCCATGTAGGGAAAGTGAAATAAGTGTTTACCAAATATTAGTGAGAACCTTGTTTGCAATTTTATAGAGCTGAAGTGGTCATGCTGTGCTGTCCTAGAGAAAGGAGTATTTTTCCAAATTCTCTCAGAGGAGAATTTTGGGAGCTAATGCCCCTCTCACAGAGGCTGTGCATTGCAAACTCTCTTCTTCGTCAGACATCTCTTCTGACTTGTATTTTATACCTTCTGAATTGTTGTTGGCCAGTTCAAACAGCTTCAGCCACAGCTGGGTTCAGCTGGCTGGGACTGAAATAACCGGTTGATAAGCTCCATGCTTTCCAAGTGACAATACTGCATTGCTTGAGAGGAAAGCCAAGAGTGTGGGTATACACAGAAATTACCCTAAAGCAAACCAGGGTGTGAGCTGAACAGCTGTTATCTATCTGTAAGCAAGTTTCCTTTGCCTCATGGATAGCGTGCAGTAGCTTGTTCTGCTCCCTTTGAATCAGCACGCTTAGAAATAGTGGCTGGGACAAATGCACATAGGCCACTGAGACATCTTCATATGGTAGGATGTTATCCTTCTGGAAACTGCTTCTGTACCCCTATGCTGATGAAGTTGCTAGTGTTTTAGAGAAATGTGTTTATAGTATGAAAAATAAATGGGGTGAAATAGGAGCTAACTTATAGGATTCTTTCCTTGAGGACAGCCCGATGGAATACATGCAGATACTATCCTGGTGTGACTAGTGCTATGATTTTTGTAAACAGTGTGTGATATTGGATATGAAACTGTTACTGAGCACTTTTCTCTGCTCTATTACCTGCTTTTGCTTGCTGTTAAATTGGTTGATTTTTTTCCTCCCTGCTTCAGACTGTTCCATTTGAACCCAGCTTTTACCTTGCTGTGCCATTTTCCTGTCTATGTGTATCCTGGTGTACTGAATCCCATCTACTCAGAAAAATGCGAGAAAATCCTGTTGTGCGCTTGAATGATTTCAATAGCCTCCATAAATTTAGCACAGACCTTTTCCTGGTATTTGCTTGTAGACAAGCAGATTTGTACAAAGCTCATGTCACTTGGCTCAGTTGAAAATTGCTGTTTAAACAGTCTATTATACTGAATGAATGTTGTTCATTGTAGTAGCTATTGTTATGAAAGTGGTTTTGTAATTTTTATAAAATGCTGTTCAGTGGAGGGTTGGGGTTTTTTGTTTGTTTTGGTGGTTTTTTTTTTTTTTTTTTTTTGATCACTGTATTTAGTTAATTATAACGTGAGGAAATTCTTATTCTTTTGGCCCCAGTCTGAAATTTTGCTATGGTGTGTTTGTAGTGCCAGGTCTGGTTGCAGGATAGTCATGTGTAGTCCTATAAAACTGGTTAAAGTCACTTCCTGACCTTCACGGTACCTGCAGCCCTCAGCAAGGGGAGGCCATTGCTGTCCCTTTCCAGCCTGTGGTGTCAGTCGTTTTTTTTGGTGTTCCATTTGGTTGCTCAAGGGTCTAAAAGGCTCCTGACAGTGACTTTAAATTCAGAAGCATTCCTTGGCTGCTCATCTTGTTTCCTAGTAAAAATTCACTTTGTTTTCTGAAGCTGAGCAGCTCTATAAGGAGTATTATAAATTGAACCCCATTTTGTTCTTTATCCTGACGAGTGTGACTTTAAAGTCCACAGCGAAGAAGTAACTGGAATATAAATGACTTCTTATGAGCTGTTAAGTTTTTTATGGTGCCTTTTTCAAGGAAAAAAAATCAAACTTGATGATCTCTGTGTGAGATCCTTTTCTGCACTGCATTTTCTGGTAGACATACTGGCACTTGATCTCAAAGGAAAGTGGAATGTAAAATATACTTCAATGGATATAGAAAAGACCCTCATAGTAAAAATAATTTTATACCAGCAGATAGTGCTATTTTTTTCTATGTTAAATATCTTGATTTTTGTAGGTAATACATGGTCACAGAATTCACCTTGTTTGCAAAACTGTTTTTGCTGGATTTACTTGACACACAGAAGCTGACAGCTTCTCTGGGGATGATGTATGGTCAAGAATCTGAAGCATATGACTCAAGAGGTATTTCAACAGTTCTTTGAGTGGAAGAGTGTTAAAACAAATAAGTTTAATTGTGTCAGAAATAATATGGACACAACTCTGCAAATTCTTGAGGACCAGTTCAGTGACACCTTTAAGGTAATGCGAACAGTCAGTCTTGTTGGTGAAAATGATGAGGTATGACACTGTCTGACTGAGGCAGTGAGGAGTAGCCATTAGTGGGGACAACTACTTTTGGCAGGGAGATGGTGCATGTGAACAATGGTTCTAAACAAAAGTGCCTCAATACAGAGGGAAAGTTAATGCACTGAGGAATAGAGTGTTACCTTTACTCTTGGTGCAGTGAGCTGGAGTTTATACAAAAGACGTCCTTTTAGAAGAAAGCAAAGGCGTCAATTCTTATATGGAAGTATAACTTTGGGTGTGCTTTTCTATCTGTTCACTGTATGACTGAAATGCTTTAATTAGTCCTTTCAAGAGGCCTTTGCATAGAAAGACTTCAGATTTTAAAAGGTTCTAGTTCATAAATGCTGCTGAAGGTGGTGATGAGAGATTGGCTGCAAAGAAACAGCCAGTCTGACTGGATGTGATGTAGGTAAAGGCTGCAGGCAACTATGCAATCGATTTTTTTTTTTTCCTCATTAAAATGTTGAGTGTGGAAAATTTGTGCAAATAAGTTGTCTACCATTCTGCAATACCACTCTGATGTTCTGTATCTCTCACTCTGAGTTGTAGGAGGTTTGGAGCATTGCAGTTGGGTGTGGGTTATTTCTCATAAAAGGAGATGGGTGGTGCCATGGTGCCAGTGGATTGCCATCCATTGAGTTCTGCCTATAAAGAAAATGCAAAGTAGGAGGGTAACTGTGACTTTCCTGTCTCTATGCTTGATATCTATGTTTTTACTCAGTTTAGGACTCTTAATCTTCCTGGAAGGACTGTCAGCTTCTCTCTCTTCATTCCTGCAGGCTCAGCTTCCCTGATCTCCTTGTCATGCTTGCATGTAAACGTTCTCAGTTTGTGTCAACATAACCTTCCTAACCACATGAATTATACATAATGCACAAGGTTTGTGCCCTTTCGTAGTGAGTAAGTTTTCTGCTCTTGCATTTCTTTGCACCCGGAGCATTTACTGTGGCCAGATGCTGCTATGAGTATCAGTGTTCTTTGACCAGGTGATAAATGATGTGCAGCAGCAGTGTAGACTTGGTGCATGCCACGTGGAGTATAATGTTAATGAATATAATTACTTACAGATGTTTATAATCACGTCAGTTATTAGAGGGGGCAAACAAACCTGCAGGTGGGTTTCTGTGATTGCTATTCAGTCTGCATGAAAGTGACTCAAGTTTGTTAGTACAGCGATGAGCTTTGGTTTACGTATTTCAAATCTGAACTTTTCTGCAAGTGCTTCCTTCAGAGGTAATGTACAGACTTTTGGCATGGGTTGGTAAAGCACTGGTAGATAGGCCAAGAAAGAAATTTTCATTTATCTTCTTAATCACTTTGACTTTTGATATGCAGTTTTTCTCTTGCAATTTAAGTTCTACCTCCTTTAAAAAAGAAATAAGTGAGCAATCATGTAAAGGAAATGTTTCTTTGAAGTGTTTCCCTTCTCTTTATTTTAAATACATACTCCTTTTCCTCTCTCTCTGAGTCCAAATTAATCTACTGTAGCATCTGTGAGAATATATACAATAGGAAATGGGTCGAAAAGGAAATTTTCAGAGCCTGTAGGACTCCAATATACAACTCCAGGCTTTTGGGAGCAAGACTGTTTGAACCTGAACTGTTAAAGTGTGTGTTTGTTTGTTTTAGCTCCATTAAGATTAAAAAAATAAAATACTTTCACAGTATTTAGTGGAATACACAAGCTTGTTGGGTAAATAAACCAGATGGGGTTTGCAGGTTTTTGTTATGACTGGTATCTTGCATGTTAAATATGGGACCGTATTTTTAATTCTGCTTCCCAGTGTAATATCTCTTCTTCTGCAGATATGAACAGCAAAACTTTGCTAAAAATAACAGTCAGTGTAATTATAAGCTGATCTTACTGATTTTTCTCTGACACCTTCTGCACCTTATATCTTGAAGCAAAGTTATTTCTGACTTTTATGAAAGCACTTATGGTTTCCTGCTGAAGTCTTTAACCTTATTTCACACTTGATAAACTGTGAAATAGATCCCAGGATGTGTCTTTATCTCAGGCTGTAGCATATAGGAATGGAAATCTCATGTACCACTGTGTGGGCAGCACACATTGATTTTTTTGACAAGAAACTCAATGGGAGGGTTTGGATTCTTCTTCTTTGGTTTCATTTCTGATAAAAAGAAAAATGAGATTAGGAAAATAAAGCCCAGTCAAGGCAAGAACCAACTTTATTTTTGCCTAGTGAATCTTAACTCGGTTAATTCTAGACATTGTTATTTTACTCAAGCATGAGGTGAGATCTGACACAAGTCCTGATTAGATTTCCAGTAGTGCTAACTCTTTGCATTTCTTACTTGTTTTTGCTGTCTGCTTGTTGCCTTCTTATTTTCAGTTGGAAGGCTGATTGTTTCTTTCTGCTCTTTGAAGTGTTGTAACCTGATGTTAGAAGCATTTTCTGATTTAGAGCAAGTGGTTGGCAGTGCAGATTAAATTCTCAAAAAGGTTGAGTTGGCTGTTTCTGAAGAACTGGATATAGAATTAGATGTAACGTCTAATCATGCCAGCTCTGTCGTGACTTTTATATATTTTACATATCTTTGGTTTCAGTTTAAAACTTTCCTTAATGTATCAGACAAGATATTTGGTGCAAGGCAGCTTTTTTTTGTTTTTCTTTTTTTGTGGAAATGTGATAGAAAGCTGCTTGGGTTACTCCCCAGGGACAAAAGAATGTATTTTCCAGGCAACAGGCAGGAAAGACAGATTTTGTTACAAGAACTTAGCTGTATGTACAGCTGGCCTAAACAAGAAATACTGGGAGAGCTAGTTCTTCCCTCTCTATATGCAGAGAAGCTTTCTTTGAGCCTTACCAAGTTTTGGTGCTTGTGCTGAAAATAGAGGTGAAAATTCCGATTAAAATGATGGGATTGCCTCTCTGGGTGAATGTGTGTGGATAAACTTACTTTTTCCAGTCTTAAGAGATGAACAGTTTTTCATCACTTTCATTTTGCATGGGGTAAGTGTTCTTGCCTCACTGATAATCTTTGTCTGTGATGGTGCTAGCCTTTTTCTCAGTTATTTATATTTTCTGATAAACATTTCCTCCATTCTCTTTTTCTGATGCTGAGATACTTTCATTGTCTAAGTTACATCTGTCCTCTGATGTAGCATCATACTAACAACAAACCAGTAGTTTAATCTGCTTGTGATTGCTCTTGGCAATAGAACCAGTGACTCTCGCTGGTTGCATGTTCTAATGTTCCATATCTATTTGACTGTGGTATCCTCAAACAGAATTCTTTTGTAGCACGTGGAATGTGAAATTGGACTTCTATGTAGAAGTGCTAATCAATTTTATTCTATTGAAACTCTTGGATGAACTCTTAGACTTGCTAATTTCCCTTTTAAAACCTCCATAAGAAGAGAGAGAAAAATCTGATAAATTGTTTCCCATTAACAGTGGAACTTCTCAGTAAAGGTTGTACATCTTAAATGTTGGTATGTATAAATGAGGAATGACTATCAATATTTAATCTCCCTCTATGTAATTCAGTCATGAAGCAGAGAAAGGAATAATTATAAATACTTACAATAAAGTTATGAATGAAGTTCATCATGAGCAAAGTATGATCACCGTCATACGAAACAGATACTTTGCCGGTGCTGAGGTATGTTTATGCCTTATCTATTTCTATGACACAGATCTCTGCAGGTAACCCTTTCTAACATAATTTCTTTTTGATAAGTGCTTCTATCTTTTTATGAGAAAATTCTAGGGGTATATTGATGATGAGAGGTAGGTTGGGATAAAGCTTAAGATTTCCACTGCTACATTACCTTAGCCAATGCTTCATTTCAGTTAAATACAAAGATACTTCCTTAAAAAATAAAGCAGTGGAAGCTGGAATCTCTGGATTCATGACAAATCAGTAGAATGTAACTTAAGGTGACTGAGCTCGAAGTAGAATGTTGGTTTTCTGAAAGATTGTTAGTGTACTGAAAACGAAACACAGTCAACTCCCTCTTCTGTGGGGAAAGAAGACCCTGAAAAGCTAAATTTGAATAGGCTCCAGGCAGTTGGACTAAAGCATATCAAAATAGAAAGCTTTAACTTTTCCTGATTTTTGTCTTTTCTTCCTAGTCCAAAACATCAGGCAGAGGAATGACTGAATAGAAGACCTGATATTAACAACTTATTATCAGTTAAGAAAATTGTGAAAAGCTTAAAGGCCCAAATAAGGGGGAAGCTGGTTGAAAAGAACAACTTTGAGGAAGTATGAAAATGTTAGTGTGTTGGTATTTTTGTCTGTTGTTTTTCAGATTGGTTTAGAAACATTAATTTAGTCTATTCCAAGTAAGTGGTAACTACTTGGATATACAGTTGGGTTCACAGCATGATAAGTTTTGTCCAACTCTTTTTACTGTTCTGGTTGTGTATTACTTTAACTTTGTTGCTAATGTGTATGCCTCCTCTTTTGTGACAGAAGTCAATGTCCCAGTTTTCAGGGTTTCCCACTACCCCTCAGAGAAGTTTAAAGAATGTAAATATTTCTTCATCTTCACTGGTAATATTCACGTCAACTTCACTGCTGTTTGTTTGATCGTGCATTAATTATTTTGATGATGCTTAAGGGAAAAAGGAACCTGCATGTGTGCCTCAAAGATTGTAAAGGGGCAGTAAGGTCCCAAGAGGGATTTAAAAGGAGATACACTAATGAAACCTATTGGGAAAAAGATTCTTGAATAATGAGGCAACATGAAAAATGTGCCTGTTTATGAGAGAAAAAAGTCAATGAATTATAGAACCTGGTGTTGCTCGTAGATGAATGATGTTGCTATTATGGTTATTGGTGATCAGCTAATTAAATGAAAAAAACCCAGCCTTTTGATTTGGGAAACAAGTTGGCAAAGGGCTACAAACATTTGGTGTGTCACATAAATGAGGGGAACACCTTTCTCAGTGATTAGGTTTTAGGGGATCCTCTTGGGTTTCCAGGAAGGAGACTGAGGAAAATATGTGTTTGAGAATATGTTCAGTTTCTGAATTGTGATACAGAAGCTGGTTTTTAATCCTGATATAGTAGGTTACTGTTGCTTGGTATGATAGCAGAGTCAGAATTATACACAAACTTTGCTATTCCTAATCCTGATGATTACAATGAATTTGAAATGACATCAAAAAACTTCCTCTTCCACTTAACATAAAATTAAATTCCAACTGTTGTAGATGGGGAACCTTACAAATTTTGGACAGCTGAATTTTCTGAAAGGTCAGACTCATTACAGATGATGTAATTGTGAAAATTACAAGAGCTGAGGAAGACTGTCCTTCTCTTTAGTCCTTCCTGCAGGTATGGGCTGTGCTGAAAGAAGCAGCTTGCATGATAGAACAGGAAAGTTTCACCCATTGTTCACAGTCTGGGTCCAGTGTGTGCCTTCTCTGTAAAGGTGTCAGTAATGCTCAGGGCTCGCACTTTCTGCGTGATCACAAGCGGAGCTGGTAACTGATGTGTTACCAAGGACTCCTGGCAATCTGCAAACTAGTCTTCTCCAGTCTGTCTATAGCTGGTGCTGGCTGCTGTCATGGAAGAGAATAGAAACTTGGTGTATAGCTCTTATTTTGGCAGCAGACAATTCCAAAATATACTGGAAACAAGGTGTGGGGAAGCAATTAGTTCCAGGTTAAGAGCAGAAAGGCAGAGAAGAAAAAATAGGAAAGCTGGAAGAAATAAAGTTCTTCAAAATAGTGCTTCAAAATGTCTTTATATATTTGTAAATTTTTTTTCTTACCTGAGAGGTTTTGCAATTTGTATTCTTTGTTACCTTATGAGCTTTAATAGTTTCTTAGTGGGTGGTATGCTAGGGAGGAGAAAGCAGCCTACTTTCCTTCATTAGGTGGTATGTTGGACAGCATCTCATCCGTGTCCTTATTGTTTTCTGGCACTCTATTGCTGCCTCCCCAGCTCAGGCTGGCAGTGCCATGTGTTCTAAATGGGAAAAGTTCAAAGATCCCAAACTTGAAAAGCCACAAGCTACCCAGCAAGTGCTTATGTTCCCGTGCAGTGATTTTGCACGAGCAGTTAATATATTGGAACCGGTTCATTGAGTATCAGGTGGAGCTCCAGGTATATGGGGAGCTTCCTGGGAAATACTGGCAGTTCTTTCATCTGCACAGGTTCAGCTTCAGTAATGCCTTCTCTGCTGCAGCATTTTAAAAACACTTCCTAATAGTGCAAGTTGATAGGTAGCCACTGTCAGCTACCTGGGTTGAGAAGATGAAGCTGATTCATATAAAAGTCACTCTTCATTATGCTTTATTCCCACTTTAGGAAGCTGTTGCTTAAAATGAAGTCATTTTTCTACTCAGATGAGTAAGCAATGAAATAGATGAGCTAAAGTGTAGCTTGAAGTCATAGATGTTTATAATTTATTAACATTGTAAGATTTAGTTAGAACACTTCTATTACCATTATCAGATCTTCATCTGTTCTAAACAGTTTTGTAAGTAGAAGTGAGGGCAAAAAAAAAAAAAAAAGTAAAAAACCTCACCCCAAACCAAACAGAAACCCCCAAGAAATAAAGGCTGAAACAAATGATTGACTCTGCTTGAAGAGACTATCTGGGATGCAGCACAATTGGCATTCTGAAGGCTCATCCGAATTTGCCAGCTGAATTTCAAATTGCCCCACATGTAACTATTCTTCAGCTCAGCCTTGGTCTTGTATCACCTTTGATGGATAATTCTAGCTCAAGTGTTAGTATTACGTTCAGCAGTTGCCAGTTTCACGTTAGGCATCTGAAATTGTGTTCTCCTTCATTAAGCAGCAGAGACACTTCAAAAATGGAGACAGTGATTTTTCCGAGTTCTCTGCTGATCTGTGTCCCGAGAGCCCAGCAATGACAAAACACATGCTTCCTTTTGCTGTCTATGTAATTGTTCAGAGGGGAGGGATTTTCAGCTTAACCTGCTGGCAGTGTCTGGAAAGTGCTGTACTCAAACATGTTTCTGTGCGATAGTGAAGACTGGGGGGATTATTCTTGGTTTGTGGGTACAGAGTTCACATTTGTCTGTTGGAGTGCACTTACCCCTCAACGTTTCTTAAAGAGGATTATTTAATTAAACACATAACTTGGCCATGTACTTTTGAGTCATATTTTTAAATGTCTATTTCTTCTGACCCCTAAAAGTTTCTTCTGATACTATTTTTTCCCCTCTTATTTCTGTGTAAGGGAAACTTGAGCACCTTGCATGTTTTACCCTAGTTTAAAATTAGAAAACAGTCTTTGCCTGCCATTTTATTGTATTAATCCATTTTCATTTGAAACCTGGTGAATCTCCTTGACTGATGTTTGATTTTCCTAACTAAAGGGGAAAAACCCACCAGTGTTATTAGAGCTTTGCATTCAAAACCAGGAGTTTGGCATATAAGAAGATGGAACACCTGAGGTAGATGCGGTTGCCATGGTATGTCAATTGTCAGACAAGGAAGATAACACTGCTCTTGCTTAGAAGTTGCTGATCAAATTTTAAAGTCAAATATTTCATTTTAAGTGCTGGGTTGAGAAATGTTCTTAATTGACTATTTGCATAATTCTGGATAGAATGCACAAATAAAATGATGACTGAGAAGGTCGAAAGCCCCAGAGTTTTCTTAATATTTAACTCAGACCTCAGAAGGAGCAACTTCTTCACCATTAATTGAATGACACAATATACAGACTTGGGGAATAAGTCATTGAGATTCAGCCTCAAAGGAGGTGTTTTAATTAGAAATCTATTTTTTTACTGAAGTGAGAAAGCTGACTTTGTTCATCTGTCTTACTGCATAATGACTGCACATTGCTTGAGCATTAATAAAAACACCAAATTCCATTTTAATCACTTAAATGCAGTTGAAAAACTGTACTGTGCCCTCTATTCTTTGGGCTGAGTTTCTTTTTTGTAAAACAAGTTTTCCTATACCTCCGAAACAAATCCACAGATATAAGTGAACCCTGTATGATACAAATATGTGTCACTGTTTTCATTCTTTCTACTCTCAATACTGTTATTCTCTGTCTACCTTATGCCAGCAACTATTTCCCCCCTTAACTCTGTTTTCAGATCCTTTTTTTTTTGAAGCTTATCCAGTGCCCCAGTGACTATTTGAGATTAAGATCTGTGCACCTTCATGCTTTACAACTTGGCTCTCCAACTCTGAAGTTGATCTTTCACAAACTTATCTTTCTCTTGGTTAAGCACCCAATTTTATATCCTCATCTCTGTGCATCCTTTACTTGAGTGCTTGCATTTCCTTGGGTTTATTATCTTGTGTAACTGCCATTCTCATAATCTTTCAGTCTTCTGGCCAGGAATTAAGACCAAATAATAAATCCCTCTTTCTTGGTAACTTGTGTATTGATGATTTGCCAGCTTTACAGAGATGACTGTTTAAGATGGAGTTGAATTACTGGAGTTGTGTTCATTATGAGCTTAGTGTAACCTGGTTACTGTCTTTAGGTTAAGAAACTGTCATGATACAGTACCAGACTAACACAGCTATAATGGCTCCAGTGTCCTGGCAGGGTAGTTTGTGTATCAATGTATAACACAGCACTGCAAATAATCTTGCTTTATTAGATGACTCCTCTACAGTATGTCTTTTAACAACTTCACTTTGACAATGTTCTGAAAACATTACTGATAATGCACAGGACTGTCTACCAAATCCTTCTGCAAAATTGTCTCCAATGGGACACTACTATGGAAAATAGAAAAATAAAACATGCAGCATTTGAGCAGGGAGGTGATCCTGTAAATGCGTATCTTGTAGCTCATTACCGTTGCCTGATTTTTTTTTTTTATTAAAAATTAGGTGAATCTCATGAAACACACAATACTATAGGAAAGAAGATTTGGTACTTCATTATTGAACATTAGGGCCAGCTAGGGGGTCTTAAATGTATTTCATGAAATTTGTACAGAGCCATCTGCCCAGTGCAGCATTCAGGATTAAGCATAATAATCCTTAGATACTAAAACTCCCCAACTTTCTTTCATGTTTAAGGGAAACTTAACTGTTCAAGGAATTAGGAAAGATTTCTTGGGACATTAAAACTAGTTGATTCACTTCTCTTTTCCATAAAATTTGTGTTATGATAATGCTTTACAAACAAAGTCTGAAGGAGACAAATCAAAGTTTAAATGGTTGGTTTCAGGGTATTATATTTCTGTGTTCTTCTGTAGAGAAAACAGCTGCTTTTGTTTCAAGAACAATTAATTTAGCTGGTATTGTTTTTAGCAGGAATGAATTAAGAAGAGCAAATTTCTTTTTTTTATTTTCCCCCGATGAAGCAGCATTGGATTTTTACTTTATTTTTAAGGATTCATCCTGCATGCATGTGCATGCACGTGCCTCACCACTAAAGCCCACCAGTAAGCAATCTGTGTTGCCTGCAGTGCTCAGAAATACAGATGAGGGTTTTACTAAGAAATGTAGTACTAATAAATATCTTTCAGCTGTTTCTTGGGGAATCTTTTAGACCTCTGGCTGTTAATCCTTGTCCCAGTTCTTGGGGAAAATCTATTTTGCTTTAAAGTGCTTTATCTATAATCAGCTTATTCAGAATTAATCTCCATGCCCATCTGCAGGCTCTTGACAGACCATAATTTCCCTTCCATCTCAATCTCGTGCCCAGAGGAATTCCACGCTTGCAACCAGTAAAATTTTTATTGTTTTCAACAAATGCAAAACTGCCACAGGAAAATAACATAAAGCTTTAAAACAGGGATATTAATGGTAGGTAACTGTTGAGGAAAGGCAATGTTTAGTGAAAAGGTCTTGCAGCCACTCAGTTAACTATGTCAGCCTTCAATGTTAAGTGTGTTTCAGCATCCAGCTTTGTGTATTAAAATAAAAAAAAAGGAAGTAAGATCAAACAAAATGAAATGGAGTAAACAAGATGAAATGTTGTCCTACGGCAGTATTCCTTGTGGAATCAATTTTCAGTTTCCTCAGTGTAAGAAGGTGATATTTATTGTTGATAGACATTTGACAGTATCTCAAAATGCAAATACACAAGTACAAAGCTTTTCAAGCTCTTCAAGTGCTCAGATTTTCCTCACTTTGTTTTATAGAGGAAGTATGTGGTCATGGTTCACTCCTGTATTTCATTGCACATCCCCTTAACTAGAGATTTTCTTTTGAGTATTTAAAATGTTTTACAGATATTGAACAACCCTTTATGCCTGCAAGATTAACAGTTTTCAGATCCCATCTTTTAGCCCAGATTTCAGATTATTTGGGGAGTGACTAGTTCTCCAGAGTCACTCTGATAGTTAGTGAAAGAATTAGCAATTGCTTGTTTCTGTCTTCAAGTTTTTGACTAGTTGTGTACATTCCTTTGCATCACAGTGATTCTTCTGTCTGGATGAAAGAGGGATAGGTGAGAGGTGTACAGGTGTCTTATGCCTTGCTGTTAATATTGACCCTGATCAGAGGAGTTGCTGGCTTGGAGACTGTGAACAAGCAAGCCTTCCTATGGAAAAATTCTGGTCCTGTTGAGGTTTAGTAATCTAGATGTCTAGATCAGAATTTGAGATTGTCTTTTTTGTAGTCCCTTTGTCCAAATCCAGTGTGTTCTCTTTCTTCCTCAACAGCTCGTGCTTACGCGTATGTGTAGCAGGTGTGGATTTGTGTTGTGTCTATGGAGTCTAGTGATGTTAATGTGCTAAGTATTTAGGCGTGTAATCCCTTCTGATAAATCCAAAGAGTGTACTTCACTAAGTGTAAGTGATGGGTAAATAGCAGAATAGCTGCTGTTGACCTAGAGCCCAGTACTTTGGTTTTCTTTTCCCCCTATGCTCCCATAGAGAGATGAAACAATATGACAAAAATTAAAAGATGAAGTTATAGAGGGTGAATGGCATCTGTTTTGTTTCTTCTCAGTAGAAAGACCGGTTTGAACATTTCTGTAATTTATAGTGGTTCAGTGAATTTATAATTCAAAATTTCAAAACCTCATGCTTTCTGTGAAATCTACTGGCACCAGCTTGACAGACCTAGTGTTGAACATTTGATTGTATTTTGTTGCTAATGAGCATTATGACTGTCAGTGCTGCTGAAGCACTTAGAAGATATGTTCATCAAATGCTTGGGTTTAATTTGAAATCGAGTTTGTTTTGCTCACTGATTAAATCCTTCTCCCTCTATGGGATGATAAAGTTAAATCTCTTCTCTGGAATTTGTTCTGCTGGAACAGACTGATCCTGAGCAGGTGCTGAGGAATGATTGCTTCCTTGTAGTTGATGCAATTCCAGTTTCACTGCAACCAGGTGAAGAGTATGAGCCATGTGAAAAACATGATTATGAGAAAACAGATGAGCAAAAAAGAAAAGTGCTTAATTGAGGAGAACGGAGCAAACTCTGCTTAACAGATGAGAAACTTTTCCATCAGGAGTTTGATTGAGACTTCTGGTTTAGTTTGATTTTGAAATCATTGGCCTGATCTGAAATCTCAAAATATAAAAGGTTAGGTAGGTGCAATCATGTTTTGTGATTATACAGTCTTCACTATGTTTTCTTTTAAGTACATTTTATTCTAATTAAGTGTTTGGGGAAATAAGTATGATGTTAGTGATTGTATTCTTAGTTTGTCATCCTTTTTCTCTATGTAGGCTTTAAATTTACAGAGATTAGTCTTGTTAGATGCCAGAGATCTTTAAGATGAAGCTTTAGTGAATTGGTTTTTATCCAGTTTTCTATCCCTCTTTATGTTCTGATTCCAGTTAACATATTCTTCTTAAAGATGCTCTAGGGTATTTTTTTGCTGGAGTTTTGTTGTTATTGCATAGTCAAGTTGTTCCCACAGCAACTACCTTCAGGACTTAAGGGAAAAAAAACAGTGTACTGCTTTGCGAACTGGTGAAAGAAATGGTGAGCACCCTTCCTCTTTTATGTCTTTCTGCCTTTGAAAAATGGAATTGGCTTTCTAGACAGCAGTCATCCTTCTAGGTGCTACTTTGCAGTGCTGATGCCAGTCAAAATACTATACACACACATTAACAAAGACTGCTGCTTATTTGCTCAGCATCACTAAGTGTATATATCATCTGTTCTTAAATGTTGCTGGCAGTAGCTATAAAGGTGTGATTTTCATCAGGTTTGTTTGCCTCCAACATTTTGTTGTTGTTGCTATTGAAAGAGTTTTGTCAGCTCTTAAACAACAATTTCTTGTAAAGATAATCATTATGAAGGTTTACAATGCTCCTCAGAAAGAAACAGGTCAGAATGCACAGTGTTGCTGTAGCAGTATATTCAGCCTCTGGGTGCTGCTCTTGGACAGCGCTGGTGGCAGACTAGGATTTTGCAGAGGAGTTACTGAAGCTGCTTGTTGTCAGATGGAGAATATAAAAATGTGATATAGGCAAGCAGCAGCACCAGGGGAACTGGGGAGTCCTCAGGTACAATAATACAGTTCACAGTGGGTAAAAGACACCACCTTGGCAGACTCACCTCTGATGTTAGGCTTGGTTTTCTATCTTTGAACAAATTAGATTTCTGCTATGGAATAGCATGTAAGATGTTCCATCCTCTTTTAATTAAATATAATTATTTTTTGAGTTTTATTGTGTGTATAATGCTAATAAAAACTTTGTTAAAAGTATTTTTATATAGAACTTTTAGTTAATATTTTCATTTCAGAAGTCACACAGGAATAATACCTTGTCAGTGAATATGAACATTTTAAAAGTTTTGTGGAATGCTTTCAAAATACTGATTTCAGTCCTTCACTATTAATAAAATGTTAACTTTAATTTTAATTAATGTTAAACACTGAAGAAAGGTTAGAAGACTAACCTGAGGGTTTGTATCATGCTGTGTAACATATGTTAGAATAAATTTTTGCCCAGTTTTCCTGCTCCAGAGTCTGTGTAACCTAGAGTGTACTTAAATCCCCGAATTGTTAACCTTCTTGGTTTTTCTGAAACCAGAATTCTCTGTGTATGCTTGATTAAAAAAAAAAAAATAAATTGCAGACCCTTCAAAATCTCTTCACAGCTGTAAGTAATATGAAGCCTTTTGTTATGTATGAACCTTTTCCATTTAAATTAAATGCTGATTACAGTTTTAGTGTCACTAGTTCTGTTTGTTTCTACTTTGACATTTTCTATGGTAATTTTGTCGCTCTGGCTTTCTTTTCATTTCTTACTTGCCAGAGGCCCTAAGAAAATAGGTTGGTTGAGGGTCATGTTACCAAAGCTGAATACTAATCTGTGGTAATGGACTGCCTGCTGTGTAGTTCAAGACACATCTCCTTCAACTGCATCTCTTCTGGCTAGAAGGTGGGTACTTGGAGGATAGAGAGGGGAGGTGGAAATGATCATGTAGGAACCATCTGCCTCCTTTCTCACTTGCTGCTTTTTCTAAGAAGCCCGAAGAAAACTTGCCTCACTCTTCCTTGGTATCAGCATTCTGCAGCTTTGAGCAGTGTCCTTGTAGAGACCAGGATGGTGATGGTGGGGGCCTGTCAGGTGGGAAGCAAGGCATTGTGTTGCTGTCATGGGCCCCAGACACGTTTTCTTATGGCCTTTAATGGCAAACCAGCAATTCCAGCTCCAAGGGCTGACAACTTTCTTTCACGAGGACTGTTACCTTCATTACTTGTTTTTAGATTTGTGTTCTCTCTGCACTCACCTTGGTGTTCACCAGTTGTGACTTGGTATCAGTCTTGGCTTTTGCTCACGATGTCATACCCAGATTGGCTACTATCATTGCCTTCTAGGCTGTAGATCTGGTAACAAAGTCACCTAAGAGGAAATGCTCTCTTCAGGCACCTGCAAGCACTTCCTCTGCCTCTACCTAACCTAGCCTGCAGACCTGGTATAAGGCTGGTTTTCTTTGGGAAAAGGAGATCTTTCAGCAGATTGGGAGAACATCAACATTTCTTATCTCCATGGTTTGGGTGGAGGTGGGGGAACTGCTCTTCTAGCTCTGAATGCTGCATCTCTGGTCAGTTTTGGAGACTCCTGCTGTTCTGCTCACTGCCTCTTAATCTTCATGCTTATGCTAACATCCATAATAGTATTACTACATCTTTCCAAGTTGTTTGCTGCTCACTCCTTTAGTATTTAACAGCAGTGCCTGTGTAGTTTTGAGAATGGTTGGAGTGGGTGTGGTATTTTGTACTTCAAAGCAGTGCTCTTCTAGTACAGAGTCCTACTTATCAACACTCAATGGCATTTTAACTATTTTTACCTGCAAGTTTGTATAGCCTGCAGATTGAATTATATTCCTTCATGGGTAACTGCCTCAAGAACTTCCCCTAAATGAACAAAGATTGATTTCATTTTCAGTCACTCCATTTCCTCAGTTTGTAAGCAAACTGATTTCAAATCAGGAACCAAGAAGCTTGCAAGCTGATGACTTTCTAGACCATGGTGGATGTTTGAGAGCCAGATCTTCATTCACATAATTTATACCCCTGGTGACAACTTTCCTCAGATTTCTGGGTATGTACTGGCAGGCACTAAGATAATGCATCATACCACAGTTCCTGCAGTAGTTGTCTTGGAAAGTGTTTTTCCCAGCTGACACACTATAGCTAAATAGACCAAAAACAGTTGTCAAATTGTCCTAAATCTGCTGTTACGACATGTGGTAAAGCACATGGGTTCAGGTGCTGGGTCTATGTTTTGGCAGCTTTAGATTCAGGGACTGCAATACATCAAGATCACACTGTGTGGAAACCTAAGTTAAAACCATTTGAATTGGATTTTTCTAAAATATATTTTAGAATCCTTTTTGATTGGCATCTTTGTGTTAAAACTGTATGTTGTTAATACTTGGGGAGGAACAAGATTTGACCTGCTGTGTGAAGATGTGATGGTTTGCATTTTTTACCTGCTCTGTTACCAGTAGCCATTTAGCTGCCTCAGCTCTACGGGTGAGACCCCCTTCCACTTGCTGCATAGCAGAGATGGGAAAGCTTACCAAAACTCCCTGACTCACCTTTCCTTGCTGTGAACTTCCATCTATTCAACTATCCTGCAACCTTAACAATTAGTTGCATAGTCAAGCAGACTGGATCTGTTCTGTCTCATCTTGACCAGCCCAGTGTGGACTGGAAGTTTCTGGTATTCTGAATATGGTATTGCAGGTTTAATCTGTCAGCAGCCCTCTGACTTCTTTATGATCTTTTCCAACTCTATGACCTGGTGTTTTGGCAAAGCCCCGAGCTGTACCAGCTGGCATCAATATACTGGGTACTGGCAGATTTGATGGCTCTGGAGAAAGAGTCCTTGTTTGAAATGAAAGAAGAGGGTGCGTATTTGGGGCTTTAAGATGTAAGATTATATTCCTTTAGATGACTCAACAGCAGATTTTGCCCATGCCAGGTCTGCCTTTGGTTTTGTTTTCAGTTTTTTCTTCTTCCAGATGTGGCCTAGGACACCTGTGCTGTAAAAGTGCATGTTACAGCCTCATGATTAGTACACAGTTACACATACTTAGTTCCAGGGCTGAGGGAACTCCAGCACTTACCAAGCACTCCATGCATTGCTGCAGCTTGTCTTTCTAACTAACTTCTTGAGAACTTTTGTTCTTTCACTCTGGTAATAAAGTTTCTCTGTTGCTCTCAAAGACAGTCTCTTGTGGTGTCACCAGAACCTGAAAATCTGTAAAATGCAAGTTCTTAATAGTGTTGCCTAGTGTACCCTGTGGTAGATGAAGTTATTGTCTGCTCCCCCAGTCTTGCCTTTCCAAGGCAACAGTAGAGTAGACACAGGAGCAATTCTAGAAGGAGAAAAAGAGTTATGTACCCATAGACAGTCTTGAAATTTTGTAGAAGGATTTTTAAGCGGTAATTAGCACGCTTCAAATTTTTATGCAGTGTTTGTGTAACTGTGGTAAATTGCAAGCCATGCAAGTCCTACTGGCTGAAATACTGAACAAACGCACAAGAAGACTTGTGCAGCAAAAAAGTCACGTGCAATGTAAATGTGTATGGCCAGCACAGCTCAGAGGATTTCTTTGCGTACAAGTATTTCAGTTTACAGGATCGATGTAGTCTCCCTCAGGAGAGAAACTAGGAGAATTCCTTTGGAGCAAATAGATTGAAGATGCTTTAGTCCAGCTACTGTGATGAAAGCTGGGTCAATACTCCAGAGGAAAAGCCCACTGACCTCCATCTCAGAAGGTGAAGGCCACTGGAATTGGAGATATTTAAAAACTTCTTTTTTTTTTTTTTTTTTTTTTTTCCCCCCTCATAGAACTTTGGTTAAAGTTGAAATCTGCTGTTGGGAAATGCAGCTCTGTTCCGTAAGCATCTTCTCTTCCTTCTAATTTAAGATACTGTCAAAATGGTGATATCACAAAAGCAATGCCAACCTCTCTTTGATGGCTGGTTGT